TTGCCAGTTGTAACTTTATCTTAGCTAAGCTTTTAGTAAGCTGGATTGGCGCCACGGAAACATATTTAGGGCCGTATGGTCAGTACAATAAATTGTAGGACGCCTTTATGGCCTCCTTGATTTTAATAGTTGTTCCTGTCCCTATTTTGAGGTTATGTTACAAATCTTCGAAGTTGAGTCATTTATTTTAACAGTGAGTAGATCTGATCAAAAGAAATGTTTTTTTCCTTTAACATTTTTCTGGTAAAATTAAAGTAACAAAGTTATAGCCCTTTAGAAGTTTGAGTACCACCCTGTCTCAATAATAATATTATGTGCTCGTGTTTGGCAACAACGGATATAATCCGCCTTATCGGTTCATCGCATCGGAAACAAAAAAGCGAAAGAATTTGAAACGCTTATCACGATGTTTTTACTACAATTTTATTCAGTAGTATGCAGTCAGTGTGTCAGTCGGTAAGGCGTGAGTGAATAGTGGTGGTTGTTGCGTGGCTCAAACGAAATAAAAAATTGCACATGTTTACGAAAATGCTGAAATTGTGGACATGATTCTTATTTACGGGGAGGGGGGGAGTCTTTACAAAATGCTGCCGCGACATCACGGATTTATGCGGATCGGTTTCCCAATCAAGTGCCTTTGTTAATGTAGTACAAAGAGCTCGTGAATCAGGTGACTTAAGACCTCACAGGGGAGGGCATGCCTGTGCTCCAAGACCGCACGATCAAATACAGGTACGCACTGAAATACTTGTCGGGAGGATACTTTATAAAACAAGGTAACATTTTTTTTTTATTTTTACACACATATTTTGGTTTATCTTCCTTCTACAATCATTATCTGAAAATTAATGACTCAACTTCAAAGTCACCCTGTATATTTGCATCAAATTGGTCCCATATATTTTTATTTGAGTAACATGATCCTCTATTTTCTGGCTAGGGTAAACGAAAGCAACTACTACTACTATGGGGATAATAGTCATGTTTTAGAAATATCTCATATCAAATTCAAACCCAAGTCTAACTGATCAAACTACGCGCCGATATGGCAACGTTGTCGGAAACCGTATTCCGACATTCTCCACGCTCTGGGTATCTTTCGAGGACATTTGCAAGGACGGACAGGAAGGTCATATTATGCATTTCGATAAAATTTCTCTAATATCAGCTCATTATCAAGGACATATTTATGTTAATAATATACATGGCATTAAATGAGAAATGATCTGAAAAACTTAATCATATGAGCTTAGGCTATCAGAGAAGCTTTATCAACGAGTTGGGGTGACAAAAATAACTATAAAAACACAAATGCCCGGAAATCTTTTAACCTTGCTTTCATACTTTACATCTTTCGAGAGACGCCAATATTTTGTAGAGAATGAAAGATTTTTGTAACTTACTGTATTTAGAGAGAGGCCAGAGGGTCTTGAATACAAAATAAATAAATATAATTAGTGATAACATATTCTCTTATAATAAATGTTTATATACTAAGTGACATATAAATCCGAACACCCAGTTTAAATGGTTTTATTTTAATAAAATTTTGTTTAAGTACTTAACGAAGCATAATAAGTAAATGATAAAAATTTCAAAACGATTGCACTGCTTCAAAGCCCTTTGACCTTTAATAATGTGTGGATGCACCCTGATGTGCTACGCATTCTCCAACGCGCCTAGGCATGCGTCTGGTCAGGTGGTCAATGTCCTCCTGTGGTATCTCATTCCAGGCAACCACCAACTCCTCTCGAAGTGCTTCTAGAGTCTGAGGAGGACGTTGCAAATTGAGCAATCTCCTACCCATCATATCCCACACGTGCTCAATTGGGGATAAGTCGGGAGATCTTGGTGGCCATGGTAACAATGTGACATCATTATGTTGAAAGAAGTCTATTATGACTCGTGACTCTTGCAACATGTGGTCGGGCATTATCTTGTTGGAAAGTTGGATCTGCCAGGGTGTCAATATAGGGTAAAAGATGGGGTTCTAGAACTTCGTGGATATAACGCTGCGCGTTCATGTTACCTCTGATGAAGATTAAAGGTGACCTGGAACCATAAGCTATAGCACCCCAAACCATAACTCCAACAGTGTGATGAACATGTATTTCAACAAAAAACTGTGGATTCCTCCTTTCACCACGTCGCCTTCTAACCCTGGCACGACCATCGTGCATGCCTAAACAAAATCGAGACTCGTCACTAAAGACAATACTGTTCCATTCCTGATCCCAGAGTGACCGTTGTATGCACCACTCAAGGCGATTACGTCGGTATTCTCGAGTTAAAGGGAGGACCCAGTGTGGCCGGTATGAAAACAAGCCAAAACTTCTCATTCGTCGGTAAACACTTCGCATGCCAATGGTCTTCGGTGTTCTGCAAACCATTCATTTGCAATGGACCTGGTAGTGGAGAAACGGTCCCTTAAGGCCAATAATCTTAGGCGGCGATCTTCACGGTCTGTTGTTCGACGGCGGCGTCCAGTGCCCCTTGCTCTTTGCGTACGGCCTTCTCGAAGCCATGCCTGACAACACCTAACCACAGTGTCTACACTTCTTTGCACTCTTACTGCAATTGCCGAAAAGAAAGTCCAGCTTCCCACTATACGGCCCCTATCAAACTCACTAAGTTGACGAAATCGTACAGGTCTCCGTACTATAGGCATCGTAACCGATCGTAGAGGATGTCAAGAACCAAAATCCGCCAACGTTGATTCTTTACTGCGGCTGAAATATTCATTTTTAGAGCGTTAGTGAATTAAAAAAAAGCAGTATATAAACCGGAATGTCCAACTGATAAGGTTGAAAATTTGTTCACTTGTTATTTACAGTAAGATAAATACATTCACCAACTTTTATTAAAATAAAACCATTTAAACTGGGTGTTCGGATTTATATGTCACTTAGTATATTTTCTAGACATCTTGTTTTCAGTCATATAATGCAACAATAAATTTCGGTTCTGTTTGATAATGCTTTCAAATCAGATGCTGATTTTAAGGTACTTTTAATGTGTGTTTTTTAACCAACATGCAAATAAACACTATTTTTGCGTTTTTATAGTTTCACATCTACAGAGCTATATTGTTGAAAATATGAAGTATTGGTATCTATTATTAAAGAAGTCATTGATAACACAGTTGGCACTAAACAAAAATAAACATACTAATTTATTTACAATAAGTTAATGTCAAAAAAAAAACGTTTCTCTGGGGAAGATTATGGTGATGGCTAAATTTCCTTTCCTTACAGTATCTCTTACGTATTATAATCTAATTATTACGATGATAAAATTGATATAAACCTTCTCATCTTCTAAGAATCATAAATTATACTAAGATTTCAAAATGCATTGTTATGTAACTTTAATGACAATTACGAGGGTGAATCAAATGTTAACCGTACTTTTGCTTTAGTAACTTTATTGGTATAGTAAATTCAAGTTTATTTACATATTATATTATTTTTCTACATAATCTCCTCTCTTGTTGATGCATTTTTCCAATCGGATCGGAAGTTTTTCAATTTCCTCATCAAAGAATGAAGCTGGCCGTATCAGTGGCCAATTGTGCACGAACCTTTTCACACCTTCGTTGTCGTCGAAGTGGTGACCTGCCAGGTCTTCTTTAAGTAGCCCAAACGTTGTGATAGTCACATGGCGGCAAATCGGGACTGTAAGGCGGTTGTTTCCCAATGAATTTCGCGCAATTTTTCTGGGGTCAATTCAGTTGGGTGCAAGTAAAAAATTTAGGTGTTGTGATTGATAGTAATCTTCGATTTGAGTATCACATCAACAAAATTATGCAGAGAGCATATTTGTCGTTGAAATTTATTTACAGTAGCCGGAAATTTCTCTCGTTAAAACTTAAGATCATGCTATGTGATACTTTAGTATTATCTTTATTCAACTACGCTGATGTGCTTTACGGCCCACACTTAACTAACCTGTATCGACGTAAAGTTCAACTAGTTCAAAACTCATGCTTGCGCCTTGCATTTGGTATACAGAGGAGACATAGAATATCTCACAAATTGAAAGATGCAGGTTGGTTAAATATGGAACATCGTAGGCTCCTCCACTCTGCTGTTTTTTATCATAAATTAATTTTAGTCAGAACACCACAATATCTTTATCAAAAAATAACCTACCGGACTGACGTTTATAACATTAACGTAAGAAGTAAGGGTCTTATTTCGCCACCCAAGTTTAGAACGTCAATCTTCAAACGGAGCTTCACATACCAAATATATAAAGTCTACAACTCAGTCCGGAAGGAACTAAAATTTTCTAGAATAGATAACTTCAAAGCCATGTTTAAAAAGGAACTGCTGAAAAAACAGTAGCACCGCATGAATGAATGAATGATTGTTTTTTTTTGTTAGCGTGTAGGTATGTCCCTCTTTTATAATGACATGTATGTATTATCGGTTTATCGGATGTCATATGTCGTAGAGGATACTGGGCTAAGTGGAAGAGCAGGTTGTTGGTACTGTGTACTAATCAAACTGAACTTCGCCTTTTATTGACACTGGATGTACTTATGTTCACTTACCATTTTGTCAATGTCTTATGTCAATAATAAAGACGGTTATTATTATTATTATTATTATTATTAAGAACTTTTCCTGCAGAAAGACTGGACTTGGCTTTTCGAGGTGCTGCCTCTCCAGGCTTTCGCCACTCCATGGAAAATTCGTATACTTGTGTCCTTGAAACTGTCTTATCGCCGAACTGTGCTATCAATCTACGCAAATTTCGGAAGGTGTTACGCTCTCCCGCGACAAAAATATGGCGCGTTAAACAGAAAAGTCCGGTTCATATTTGATTTACAAGTGTTCACTTTCTTATATTTTCTGAATCTGGTCGCTCTTGACGATGTTTGATGTATTGTCCTATCTAGTATACACTAGTTTCTATCTTCCATCATCATTTAAATACTTCCACCTAGCTCGCTCGCAAAAAAACTAAAAAAATATAAAATAATTGTTTTTTTTCAGGCTGGAATGATTCTACATGCGCAACTAGAAATATGGAAGGCAGCATATTCCGAAGAGCAACTTGGAGGCAACTGGAGACCTGAAACGACATCAAGCAACGCATCTAGTGGAGACGTTTCGGAAGGTAAGCATCATATGGCTAACTGTTCAAACTGGATAATACTAATTTATAACTTCTCTATCTTAAAATGGTTTATCCGCAAATATACTAAGTGACATATAAATCCGAACACCTAGTTTAAATGGCTTTATTTTAATAAAAGTTGGTGAATGTATTTATCTTACTGTAAATAACAAGTGAAAAAATTTTCAGCCTTATCAGTTGGACATTCCGGTTTTTATACTGCTTTTTTTTAATTCACTAACGCTCTAAAAATGAATATTTCAGCCGCAGTAAAGAATCAACGTTGGCGGATTTTGGTTCTTTACATCCTTTACGATCGGTTACGATGCCTAGAGTACGGAGACCTGTACGATTTCGTCAACTTAGTGAGTTTGATAGGGGCTGTAAAGTGGGACTTCGGGAAGCTGGACTTTCTTTTCGGACAATTGCAGTTAGAATGCAAAGAAGTGTAGACACTGTGGTTAGGCGTTGTCAGGCATGGCATCGAGAAGGCCGTACGCAAAGAGCAAGGGGCACTGGACGCCGCCGTAGAACAACAGACCGTGAAGATCGCCGCCTAAGATTATTGGCCTTAAGGGACCGTTTCTCCACTACCAGGTCCATTGTAAATGAATGGTTTGCAGAACACGGAAGACCTATTGGCATGCGAAGTGTTTACCGACGAATGAGAAGTTTTGGCTTGTTTTCATACCGGCCACACTGGGTCCTCCCTTTAACTCGAGAACACCGACGTAATCGCCTGGAGTGGTGCAGACAACGGTCACTCTGGGATTAGGAACGGAACAGTATTGTCTTTAGTGACGAGTCTCGATATTGTTCAGGCATGCACGATGGTCGTGCCAGGGTTAGAAGGCGACGTGGTGAAGGGAGGAATCCACAGTTTCTTGTTGAAAGACATGTTCATCACACTGTTGGAGTTATGGTTTGGGGTGCTATAGCTTATGGTTCCAGGTCACCTTTAATCTTCATCAGAGGTAACATGAACGCGCAGCGTTATATCCACGAAGTCCTAGAACCCCATCTTTTACCCTATCTTGACACCCTGGCAGATCCAACTTTCTAACAAGATAATGCGCGACCACATGTTGCAAGGGTCACAATAGACTTCTTTCAACATAATGATGTCACATTGTTACCATGGCCACCAAGATCTCCCGACTTATCCCCAATTGAGCACGTGTGGGATATGATGGGTAGGAGATTTCTCAATTTGCAACGTCCTCCTCAGACTCTAGAAGCACTTCGAGAGGAGTTGGTGGTTGCCTGGAATGAGATACCACAGGAGGACATTGACCACCTGATCAGAAGCATACCTAGGCGCGTTGGAGAATGCGTAGCACATCAGGGTGCACCCACACATTATCAAAGGTCAAAGGGCTTTAAAGCAGTACAATCATTTTGAAATTTTTATCATTTACTTATTATGCTTCATTAAGTACTTATACAAAATTTTATTAAAATAAAACCATTTAAACTGGGTGTTCGGATTTATATGTCACTTAGTATAAGAAGCGTTTTTACATATATTTCAAAGCTTTCAGATAACCGATATATTAGGTTCAAAAAACAAAAAAAAATGATCCAGTGCGATCCTGAAATTCCTTTTACCAAATGAATAGTGAGGATTTTTCTTCAATTTCTTGTTTACGTTTTAGGTGTTATTTTGCCACAAATTAGCTTTGATATTGCAAGAATAGCTGACTCTGGCTTAATGGGAGCTAAGTTGCGCATGTTGGTAACTCAAAAATGGTTCAGAGAAAGTATATCCAGAATTAGACTAAAAAACCGAATTCTCCCAAAACCGTTTTCATTTTTTCCTTATTTGAGGCGGGATTTCAAAATAAATTGCACGTTTACTGTGAGACTTTTCTCTTCTACAAGATGGCATAATTGTGATTTCTGTATGACGTGTTTTCAATCATCAACTTTGATCTCAAAAATGTCTAATACGTCATACATTGATTTTCCCGTATCTTGGTTACTTCAAAAAAATACTATTTTCATAGTTTACCTCAACTGGTCTGCGGTGGTGTCATCGCTGACACCGAGCTACAGGAGAAATATTTATATATTTTAGCATCATTTGGATATAATCGTAGTACGTATCACTTCAGCGTTCTGCGATGTTTTGTAAATGATGGCTCAACTGTTTTTATATCTACGCAAATATTTTTCTGATTTTATGATCGTTAAATGTAACAGCCATTTCGTGTAACCTTTAATATGTGTTACTCAGATTACTGTGTTACTAGACTGAGTCAGTACTGATGACAATTTGATATAAAACAGACACGGCCTGACAAATCGGCATAAATGGGAAACACGGATGTGTGATGTAGATATCATTAAGCAACAGAAATCTTTCGAAAATTATCGCGAGCTTAATACTTCCATCGTTTAGGTAGTCGTAGATTTGTAAATGTATTCACACGCGGTGGAAATAAAATCGTTGAACCATTGTGTGATATTTCAGAGATTCCTGCTCATTTTTAGACATTTGGAGGGAGAATTGTGAGATTCGAATTTGGAACACTGGGTATGTTCAAACTCATACGGACCGTTTCGTTCTTGCTGTGGATCGTCAATACGACGTAGGTCTTTAGCATCTTCCCTTACTTTCTAGGCATTTCAAGTCAAAGCTTCTCTATTATTATGGGAAAAGCTTGTTTGTACCGGACTAATAGTTATTTATCGAAGAAAACATACATGTTGATTGTTGATTCTGTGAATAAGAGCTTACACGTTTATTATTTCTGAAGGTCAACAACTTTAGATACATAAATATATCTCGCTCTGCATGTAATTTCTTAATAAAACGGGTGTAAAAAATACACATTGAGGTCGTTTTTGTTCGGATTAAATGTTAATGGGCAGAAATTCAAGATAATTCCGAAACCTGTACGATGCAAAGTTTAATAAGTGAGATTGCGTTTCTTGCAGTCGGTACGCTATTTAACGATAAAATTGATATTTAATGAATTCATTTCCAGATTTGGGTATGTCGTCATGCAATCGCAACTGCGTACCGCTACGAATCCATTTACTGGATTACAATCTGAACGTATATTTCACTAGTTTCCACGAAAAATGTACCTTGCCAAAAAGGCGTTTTTCAGACTAATTTGAGGTCGCTGAAAATGAAAATTAGTCATATTCGTTTTCAGCGACCTCAAATTGGTCTTAGAAACATCCTTTTGTCGAGGTACTTTTTTGAAAGTAAGAATTTGTAACCTAGTGATTTTTCGACTTTGTCATGATTCGGTATTCAAGTTATCGGGAAGGAGACTTTATGACTGATGTCGATGTCTCTCAAAGACCTTGGAGATCACATAGCAACAGAGAAGTTCTCGTAGAAATACTTTCCCTTGATATATCGTTTCGAACGATACTGACGCGATTCGGGTTTTTTAACAGCACTGTGCATTATTCAGAATATACTTGATCATTCGGTACACATCACGACTGACTACAAATAAAAACAAATTTTCCAGGTAACACATCAATATGTATGCTGTTAATTCTCCGGATTGGAATAAACAATTACTCAAAATTGCATACGTTGTACATGCAAATCCGTAGCTGATTTTAATGGAAAAGTCATTTTTTCATGTCGTGTATCCTATATCCTTGGCATATATTAAAATCATCATTAGAGATTCAGTTTGTAAAAGAATCAGAAAGAAAGGATGGGTTGGTAATGCTGGGTCCATAGGAGCTCTAGACAAACCTTATCCTGTCTTCTGGAAAGGCTAACGTCGTTGAAATCAATACTACAAAACCCTGCAAGGCGTCGATCCCTATCCAGAACTGGTCGGTAAGACTGTTCCTTTGATGCTAGGGTGTCGAGATTGTAGAACAATCTACCACAGGAGAATTTCTGCAGTCCTACTAAGTCCAAAAATTCGGATTAGCAATGCTCCTTCCGAAATAGCACAATTATACCTTCAAGACGTTTTAAAAACGTCTTTTTGAGTTATTAAAGACGTCGTAAGGATGTCTCTTGAACATGATCGTAAAGGCGTATGTTAGGAAGTAAAAAGACAATGAAAAAACAGGCGTATCATTGAAAAGTACGTATATATCTATTGAATAGAATGATTTAAGAACAAGTTGATGTCTTGAGCTGTCAAACTTTGTTGTGTGAAGCTCCAGTTGCCAGCTCCATCTCGTGGTGGCTTTGGCATTTCTCACTCGTCTCAGCAGACACTGAATTAAATAAGTAGGTGCAGGTTGTTCCATAAACTTTTTTAATCGTGTAATACATTTTTTTGTTAGATTGCTTTTATATGGGGATGTCCAAAACGGACGCAGGAAAGTAAACGCATATTAAAACAAAAAAGATTGATATTGAGTTGGGTACTTTATTTTGAAGGTTCATTTATACCATTTATGTATGAAAAATAATATCGCTCAAATGTTCACCACGACTGGATTTACAAACGTCCACGCGATGGTCGAAATTTTCAATGACATTTTGCAACATGGTCGGTTCTATGGCATTTATCTCGGCAATGATGTTGTTTTTGAGTTCTTGGAGGGTGGCTGGTTTGTTGACGTAGACTTTGCTTTTCAAATATCCCCATAAAAAGAAGTCCAAGGGAGTCAAATCGCACGATCTTGGTGGCCATGGCACATTTCCTCTGCGCGAAATCACGCGATCACCGAAGAAGGACTGCAATCGATGGATATTGACGTTGGTTGTGTGGCATGTTGCACCGTCTTGTTGGAAATAAACATAGTCCATATCGATTCCTGCAAGTTGCGGCAAAAAATAGTCCTCTATCATCACGTGATTTCGCTCAGAATTGACGGTAACGGCGTCCCCGGCCGCATTTTCGAAAAAGTAAGGTCCGATGATGCCTTTTGACCACAATGCACACCACACAGTCACCTTTTGAGGATGCATCGCCTGCCTCTTGATACTCACGGGGATTTTCGTTCGCCCAGATGCGGCAGTTTTGCTTGTTTACCGTCCCATTCAAAGTGAAATGCGCTTCGTCGCTGAACATGATTTTTGATGAAAAATTGGCATCAATTTGGCGGTGTTCAAGGAGCCAATCTGAGAACGTTCCGCGCGAAAAATGGTCGGCCCGACGTAGCTCTTGGATCTTGTAGGTGTGTACATTCAAATCCTTGTGGAGAATGCGGAGCAAACTGGTTCTCGAAATGCCCAATTCTTGGGATCGACGCGTTGTTGATTGTTTCGGATCGTCTCTCACACTCTCCTTCACAACAGCAATATTTTCCGGTGTGCGAACGCTTCTTGGCCGGCCAGAGCCTGGCAGATTTGCCACAGAACCTGTTGCCTCGAATTTACGCACCAGACGACCGATGGTTGTTTCGTTTGGGCGGTTGTTGCGACCGAAATGTTCACGAAGCGCGCGAAACGTGTTTTTTATTTTTGCACCATTTTTGTAGTGCTCTTGAATAACTTTAATGCGGTCTTCAATCGAATACGACTCCATAGCGATCAATGGTAAACATTCAACTAACAAAATGACATGTCGGTGACAGAAAACAATGATGGCGTCTATGTCAAATTGACGTTTACTTTCCTGCGTCCCTATTGGACAACCCTTTACTATTTAGTATGACATTTCATTAAAAAAAACATCTTAAATAATTAAATAATAAGAATAAGCGTTAGCTGTTGTGGCACCAGCCCAGTATAACAGCACAAATTAGTCAAAGAGCCTTTAAAAAACATAAAATTAAACAAGTATATTGCTTGATAGACGGTGGTAGCATTTTGTTCCAATTTTTTTACATTCAATGCCTACACTTACCTTAAAAGACAGAGAGCTGATATTAATAAAAGCCTGGGAAAAAACGGTCAAAATTTGTAGTACTTTCAAAGAAAACAACTGAACAATAGAAGGCGGCCAAGAAACTTTTGACAGATGACAGAGATGTTGCAGAGGTAAATATAGGGATGTGCTCTGTTTAAACGACGCATCGTCATCTGGTGGACATTAAATGAATTAAAATAGAATGTTCGCGATAAATCTTGACGTTTAAATGATTCTAGAAAACGACTCTATGATGTTCAAAAAATACATATATCTGAAAACTTCAATGACTTGTTTTTTGCATGGTTTAAAATAATTGAATTGCATTAAAAATATATGAATCTTGAAATAGTGTTAAAGGTAAATTGGATATATTTTCAATCGTGGTTGGTTAAGCAAGAAAATATGTTTTAGTGTAATGTTTAGCTGGGAGTTCAGCAATTTTATTTCTGATATATTCACAAAGCTGAAATCTAGAAACCGCATCTCTTCTAAAGGACATATAAAATCGTCTTAAAAACGTTTGTTTTATGTCGTGTCGGTATGTACGCAAAACGTGGCACTAAAGTTATCTTAAAAACGTTTTTAAGTTCTTCTGACCTATCTGGGTGCCTACATCAGTATAAAAAACCGATTAGCAGATTTTCTTTCTACTGCACTTGTCGTTTTTTTCCCTGCCATCTACAAAATACTGATCAAGGTATTCCGCAGGGATCAGTCTCGGACATAATGTTGTTGCTGCCCCACGGTGGTGACTCCATTTTCACAGTGCAAATTGCTTTATTGGGTATATACAGGGTGGCCAATATATAACTGGCTGATTTGAATTACGCGCCATTTTTGATACACGCATTTCAGTAGGTGGCAGCGTAGTAGTTGTTTAAAGCACTTGTGTCCAATTCATCGAGGAGCGCTACACGCTCTCACAACGCGTCCCTATTGTTAAAACGTTTTAGAGCAGCTGAAGAACAATATTACGGAAGCAATTGAAAATATACCTCGCGATCCCGAAACCTACCAAAAAGTGATCGAAAATGTAATCAAGAGGCCTCAGGTTTGCGCGGCTTCCAGAGACGAACATTCGTCTAATATTATTTTTCATGCATAATGTTTAAGTTCAATAAAAGATTGAGATGAAAAAAATTAACGTATTTTATTTCATTTCACAAATATTCAAGATACAAGCCAGTCAGTTACATATCGGCCACCCTGTATTAATTAAAAATTGTGATTGTTAAACCGTGTTTTTCATTTCAGATGAAGAAGAAGATATTGCCCCACAACCGTCCCCAGAAGCTGCAACTAAGCCCTCAACTTCCACAGCGAGGACTGGCTCTCATATCCACCTCTGGCAGTTCCTCAAGGAACTGCTTGCATCCCCTCAAACTTACGGTGTATGCATAAGATGGTTGGATAGGTCCAAAGGTATCTTCAAAATTGAAGACTCGGTGAAAGTGGCCAGGCTGTGGGGAAAGAGGAAAAACAGGCCTGCGATGAACTACGATAAACTTAGCAGGTATGTTCAATGTACACGGTGTAAAACTTGATAAAACCCATTGTATTTCCCGTAATAGAATGTGTGGCTGGAAGGGTGGGTTTTAACCCTCATAAGTAAACATTACCTCCCGATCTAGGTACAATAAGTTAATGATCAAATTATAAATGTAAATACAGCTTCCGGGATAAATATGTTTAACAGCTAAAGCATTCATCAAACCAATAAAAAATTATAAACCTGTTCCTAGTTGTACTCGTATCTGTTTTACAATTTGTTGGTTAAGTGATTTCCTCAAAGTCATCTCTCTGTTAATGTTCTGGCACTAGATAAAATGTTACATTCTGAACAAAACTATTATAGTTATTTTTTTTTTTTTTTTTTGGTGAGGGGGGAATGCGTTTACGCACCATACCATAGCCCAAGCTACGGCGTGTGTGGGACTCCAGGTTGTCCACCTAATACCCACTAAACCCTAAACCTCCGCGTGGCATGACTCATCAGCGTCTCGGTAGGCCATGTGTTGTGCGTGACCTGCGGTCTGTTACAACGTCTCCTCATGTGTTTCAGAACGCCGGGTTGGTTCCCTTTACCTCGCACATTCTATCGATGTCGTTAAGCGATCATCGATAGAGGGTCTGCTAGGTTCTCTTGAAACTCTTGTTTTCGAAAAATCAAGAGTTTCAAGTCCTCTTACCAATATGTTGTTCCTGGTCCTGGTCCTGAAGGGTCCTGGTCCTGGTGGGTCCTGGTCGTGGCGGGTCCTGGTCCTGTTGGTCCTGGTCCCGGTGGGTCCTGGTCCCGGTGGTTCCTGGTCCTCTGCATCCACGCCGTGGGGGGGGGGGGGGAGCAACCGCGGGTTCTCCTAGTCTCCTAGTCAAGGTTCCAGTTAGCGGGTGCCAACTGGGACCTTGGTCTAGGGTACCTGGTTCTGCGGTTGCGAGGCCTCTCGTCCGGATCGTAGTCCATGAGGAATCGTAGCTGCTCGTTCGGGTGGTCCTGAGCTTTCTCGAAGGTCTTCTCCGCTTTTTTCCTCATGTACTCGTGGATGGTGTCCCAATGCAGGTCTCTACGCAAGGTTGAGTTTCTTACTGGTGCACTGGTGGCGATCCGGAGTAGCTTCATCTCTAGAGCAGCAAGTCGCTTGCGGTAGCTGGGGGCAGCATACCCCCAGACCGCGGAGGCGTAAGCGAGCTGAGGTCTGGCGATGGCCTTGATCAGCCGTAGCTTGGTCGCTAGCGGCATCCGGCTGTGTCTACCCAGTAATGGGTAGAGTTGAGCCATGGCTGCTCTGGTCTTTGCGATGACAGCTTCTATGTGGGCTTTCAAGGTGAGGGACTTGTCAAATACGATCCCCAGATATTTGACTTTGTCGCTCCACTGGATATCTTCGTCGAAGATGGATGCTTCGAGAGGTCTTGAAATCCTTCTTCGTTGAATGAAGATTGCCTGCGTCTTCTGGACGTTGATGCGGATTTTCCATTTCACGCACCAGTCCCGGATGTGGTCCAGTTCAGCCTGTAGTCTCCTACGGATGATCTCGGGTCGTCTATGCTTGGCGGCTATAGCAGTGTCGTCTGCATATAGGGCCAGCATTGTGTCAGCTGTCTTCGGCACATCGTGAGTATAGATGTTGTAGAGCAGGGGGGCTAAGGCTGACCCCTGGGGCACGCCTGCTTCCAGCTGTCGTCTTGTTGAATGGCATGTACCAATCTTCACCGTGAATTATAGTTATATATACTTAATAAAGTTTAGGCAAGAATTGTATGCATTGAAATTTCGGAAAACAGTGGGCTCCTATCGCAGAGCCAAGTTCATATTATCGACATGGATGTGTCGCCTAAATGTACCATTTCATCTGGAGTACCTCAAGGTTCTGTACCCTACTGCACTCTACAACCATTGTAGTATTCAATTTTTTGCTGATGACTCTCAATTTATAATCACTTCCACAGTAGCAACACTCAAATTACCGAATATGAAATTAATTAGTGCATATGCAAAAAATCATAACCTCAAACTGAAACAAAATCAGAAGTGATTATTTTTCCACCTAAACCTGTTAGAAATTATGTTAAAAACAACTTTAGTGTTAGGCATAGAGGTGCTACTATCGAAATTAATGAAGCATTTAAAGACCTGGGAATTCTTTTTGATGAATGTCTCAAGTTCGTACTTTATACGTCACTCATATCTGAATAAACAAATTCTCGATTATCAAACTAAAAGAATATTATGCGAATCATCTATTATGTCCAAAATTACTTACTGTGACATAGTATACAATCCATTATTAGATACAATATCTTTGTCACGTTTACAAAAAATTCAAAATTCATGTCGCAGGCTAATAAATAAATAATTTAAGAAAATACTACCATATAAGCGGTTTCTTAAGAGACTTACAGCTACACCATGAGCCCTCGAAATTCTATTCACACAAGAGACATACGGTTTACACACTTACTCATTATTTCATAAGTGCTTCACATACAACGCAATAACCATTTATAATGAAGTACCTCGGGCATTAAAATCAGTAAATTACAATGACTTTAAAAAACAAATTAAACACTTCATTTTAGAAAAGAAATCACCTACACAATTTGACCACACACTTCGCAAAAAATTTTCCATTTCTATATACATTCACGTGTAGGATTAACTTTTTATTATTCACTATTAGCATACTTAGGTATATTTTTTTACATATTTATAATCGTTATAGTATAAGCTAAACTTCGCCCTTTAATAAACTGCTATATATACAAAGTCTTGCTATTTTGTGGATTTCTGGTCTCTTTAGGATGGATCTATGGCACTAATTAGGGCTTATAATCATATTTATCATATTTAAACTGTTGATAACTTCTATAAACAAACTGCTAAACGTCAAACCCGATTCCACTAGTTGGGGGTAAAAATTACAACGTTGCCAAAGCATACTTGATTGTTATTACTATTATAGTCCGGTAAATTTCAGAATATGGAAATTCTAGATCTATTCAAAAATGTTCATTATAATGCCTAATTCTGTTTGGCGTGATCCAATCGCCATAAAGAAGAAGATGGCACGTTTTGGACGCACCCGCTTACTTTCGTAATATGATCATACCTACAATACCCCGCCTAACAGGAATCCCGAATTTGACGGAAATTCTAACAGTCAGGATCGTTTCCTAAGCTGAATATCTTTATTTTTCAACCGCTATATAATTTTTATCTTGCTTACGTATAGTAGTAATAGGCCTTGAGAGGGCCGGAAACATGGTCATGAATCGAAAAGTGGCACGTAGTCGAGGAATTTAAAAAAATCGAAACTTTTGAACGAAAAGAGATAAAGAAATAAAAAAGACGCTATCTTCATGTCCGATGTCCGGGCTTTCTCACGCAAAAATCGTCAGGTTCGTAACTCCTTTATCTTCGGAGGAGATAGAATGTGAACGTCGAACAGCACGAAAATCTACCGTTTTTTCGACTTTGACAGTCGTTTTCGATCGCGTTTCTTCCTCTTACGTGGACAGCTCTCACTCGATCGTAAAGCGCCGAGTTTCTAGTTTTCGAAACAGTATCGCTTTCCGTTAAAGCGTTTCGCGAACCTGGAAAAAAACCGGAAAAACCGCGTCGATGTCAAACGCTCCGATCCAGACTCGACACCAATATATATCTAAAACAAATGATCTTCGACATTTATTTTTATTATTATATTTGAATCCGGAAAAAAGAAAAAATTCTAAAGCTCGACGCCTGAAGGTATCCGTGCTTTGAGGGTTGTTGTCTTGTCTCCAAATTGACGAAAACTCCGAATGCCTACCAGAATAAATGAAATTGGGAAAGATGGTCTTACACGAATTATTTATTTGAGTTGCCAAGCTTACCGTCTTCTATGACTACTATGTTTTTTGTCAACTCTCAAAATATATTTTAACGACAATTATTTGTTTGCAGATCGATCCGACAATATTACAAGAAAGGGATCATGAAGAAAACGGAAAGGTCACAGAGGCTGGTTTACCAGTTCTGCCACCCATACTGTCTGTAAAAAGCCGAAAGATCCAATTGTAACAGAAAAAGATGATTGGTTGACTACGCTTCAGCATATTCGTCAAACTAAACAGTCAGATGACTATACTGTCGCCAAAGTGTTACAAATCATATTTTTCTCTTCGTGGACTTGGTGAGTTATTACTTTCTGTTAAACAACAGAAAGAAATAGTTTGCCAGATAATAGGGGTGAAGATGTCGTGGTGCTGGTACATATAAACAATAAGACAGGATACTGTCTAGGGAAGGTGCACGCAGGGTATTACTGCGGCACCAGAGTTATGCTGTATAAGCATAAGCTAATATTTTGATATTACGTTGAAAAGGAAGGTAATTTCCAAGTCGTTTTTAAGATGTTTAGGCTTGGTTTGTGTATCTCTTCCAAAATCACCCGCGTTTGGAAGTTGTTATACCCAAACAAAGTCTTGAAAATATTTGCCGATCAGTAGAAACCCTTGAATGGAGCTAGCTCTTAATGCTTCTTAAGACGATTCATCTGCAGCTCAGGTCAGAAGCCTTGGAAGCTCGATGTTTTCATGTCGAAGTAAAATGATGCAAATCTCCTTATTGAGGTGGTTTCGAACACTCGGTGATTTCTGGTCCCATATATCTATGATATATCATTTAAGTAAGTTCTGTGAACGACTTATATACCGTTTAAGTTATTATAAGGGTCAAAGTTTAAGCGTAGTCGAAAATAGTGAAGAACGATATAATGTTCTATTGACAAAGATTTATGAATGTATAATTTATTAATCTCATAAGTGTATTATTATTGCGCGTAGTTTGATAATCATATTTTGTTATGTTATTTATGTCATATTTATTTATAATATTAATCGTGCATTATAAAATGAGCAATAATAAGTTTGTAATAAATATGGCAATATATTTTATGAAATATGCTCGAAACTTCATTATACTTTAGTACCTCAGATATAAAAAAAAGCTATACCCTATTCGTAGTCCCTTTACGTCCCTAGCACAACAGAGATGCAGCGCGGCAAAGCGACAGATGCCTAAGCGTTGCAATAGCTATCGGTCAACAGCCATAAAACTACGAACAGGTGCAGGATTCAGGCTCTTGGTATCGCCGGCCCGCCGACGCCGGCAGTTCCTGTTCATATACGGTGCATACTGAGCGTGTATTTATACGTTAGCGTGTCGTCTACGGCTACAGCAGATGAAGCTGAGAATGTTTCTTCCAATGCTTCCTCCAGCCATGCTTCCTCTTCAGTGATATCTCCTCCCCGAAAACGTAACAAGAAGCGACATTTGAATATTCAGTCAAGGGCAATTGTCCTTAACGTTTATAAGAGCGAAATTTTAGAGCATCCTGAAATGAAAATTCATGATATTGAAAGCAGTGGCGCTCCCAGGATTTAAGTCTGGGAGGGGTAAAATGGAAGGTAAATTCTCAGTGTGACGTATTGAAGTGTTCTAACATTAAAAGCATGGACATATGCAGACATGAATTTGTTAGTGATTTCTGTAGAAAATACATAGTTTTTTCAATTTTGAATCAAACGAAATCAAAGTGTAAATAAAGCAAACCAAGCACGAGCAATCTTCTTATTGAGGAAAGTATCCTATTATCGGATAGTTTTTTGTTTTAGGCAACAATAAATAGTTAATAGCTACCTAGAACGCCAAAATGTTGGTAATTATACTAAGTGACATATAAATCCGAACACCCAGTTTAAATGATTTTATTTTAATAAAATTTTGTATAAGTACTTAATGAAGCATAATAAGTAAATGATAAAAATTTCAAAATGATGGCACTGCTTTAAAGCCCTTTGACCTTTAATAATGTGTAGATGCACCCTGATGTGCTACGCATTCTCCAACGCGCCTGGGCATGCTTCGGATCAAGTGGTCAATGTTCTCCTGTGGTATCTCATTCCAGGCAACCACCAACTCCTCTCGAAGTGCTTCTAGAGTCTGAGGAGGACGTTGCAAATTGAGCAATCTCCTACCCATCATATCCCACACGTGCTCAATTGGGGATAAGTCGGGAGATCTTGGTGGCCATGGTAACAATGTGACATCATTATGTTGAAAGAAGTCTATTGTGACTCTTGCAACATGTGGTCGGGCATTATCTTGTTGGAAAGTTGGATCTGCCAGGGTGTCAAGATGGGGTAAAAGATGGGGTTCTAGAACTTCGTGGATATAACGCTGCGCGTTCATGTTACCTCTGATGAAGATTAAAGGTGACCTGGAACCATAAGCTATAGCACCCCAAACCATAACTCCAACAGTGTGATGAACATGTCTTTCAACAAAAAACTGTGGATTCCTCCTTTCACCACGTCGCCTTCTAACCCTGGCACGACCACCATGCATGCCTAAACAAAATCGAGACTCGTCACTAAAGACAATACTGTTCCATTCCTGATCCCAGAGTGACCGTTGTCTGCACCACTCAAGGCGATTACGTCGGTGTTCTCGAGTTAAAGGGACGACCCAGTGTGGCCGGTATGAAAACAAGCCAAAACTTCTCATTCGTCGGTAAACACTTCGCATGCCAATAGATCTTCCGTGTTCTGCAAACCGTTCATTTGCAATGGACCTGGTAGTGGAGAAACGGTCCCTTAAGGCCAATAATCCTAGGCGGCGATCTTCACGGTCTGTTGTTCTACGGCGGCGTCCAGTGCCCCTTGCTCTTTGCGTACGGCCTTATCGAAGCCATGCCTGACCACACCTAACCACAGTGTCTACACTTCTTTGCACTCTAACTGCAATTGCCCGAAAAGAAAGTCCAGCTTCCCGAAGTCCCACTACACGGCCCCTATTAAACTCACTAAGTTGACGAAATCGTACAGGTCTCCGTACTCTAGGCATCGTAACCGATCGTAAGGGATGTCAAGAACCAAAATCCGCCAACGTTGATCCTTTACTGCGGCTGAAATATTCATTTTTAGAGCGTTAGTGAATTAAAAAAAAGCAGTATAAAAACCGGAATGTCCAACTGATAAGGCTGAAAAATTTTTCACTTGTTATTTACAGTAAGATAAATACATTCCCCAACTTTTATTAAAATAAAACCATTTAAACTGGGTGTTCGGATTTATATGTCACTTAGTATATTTACATAATATGTCTTCTTGTATAATTTGAAAGCATATCCCTCTAATTCATCATTTTTTTTTTTCGAAAATCGCAAATAATCATTGGAGTGCAAAATGTACTATTTTAAAATTGGGTTCAAAATATCGGATAGTAGGTATTCCTAATTTTACACATGCGCGATATTAGTGACTCAAAGGCTTGAAAAAAGGCAAAAGAAATTTATTTTTATGTTTTATTAATTTAATACCAAGGAGTAAAATAACTTAACAAAATGAGAAAAATTGGTAATGAATCTCAACAAATTTCATAAAATGGGTGATGAATAGAAACAATTTTCACAAATAAAAGCTGAATTTTTGTCAGTCCCCGCGCATTCTTCTTGAGGCCAACGGAAACATTGATTGTATCCTAGGCATTCTTCCCCTCTTGTGTCATTATGAATAATAAAAATTGTTACAGTATAGTCACTCAGCGTCTTCATCATCTGTATCCATATCATCACTGTCAATTAATTGCACTTCTGTTTCGGTATCTTCACTAGAAGAGCTTAAAGATCGCTTAGCTATTTTCTGTTTTCGCTTTCCTTTGGTATTTTCCTTTGGTTTCTTCTTAACTCCAGTTTTTTTTATTGTTATTTCAACTGGTTCCTAATATCGGATATGCGATTTTAAGGAACCCAAACTGACGGCACACAACCTCACTAAATTCATTATTTTGTTTTACGGAGAAAAAATGCATTTGTCCTATGAATATAGTATTAAGTAAAAGTCTGAAATCTATTTGATCTGTTGGTATATAATACACAAAATAACAAGTTCACCTTTTGGAAATATAACGTCACCAATTACGGAGTGTTAAAATATTCACATGTCGCAAATATGTACATCAGCGGAATGGCGCACTCACAGACTTTTCTACATAATGTCAGACAAAACAACAAAAAATATATCTTCATGAAAAAAATAACAATAACAAATATGTTACGACTTCTTTAAATAAAAACTGAATGTAAATCAAAATAAAATTCTTAATCTTGAGAAAAATACAAAAAATATTCTATAACTACATTCTCTTAGTCAGTCTCAAAAAATAAAAACATAAACTATGAAACTACATCATTCTCCAAATGAAACAATCATTAAATTAGCTTAGAAAGTGATTTGAACAGAATTTGAACAGACTTTTATATCAATCTGTTAGCCAATAAATAAAACCACATATTTTGATTGGATACTTTGGAAAAGATGACCGAGGTAAGTAAGCCCTTAACTACATCTGCTTTTTTATTTATTGGCCAACAGAAGGGAGATGGATTTGAGAGACAACCTTAGGCAAAGTTCAGGTGTTATCATATTACAAAATCAAGGCGCCTATTCTTTTCGCTGGTGAACCGATCTATGATTGTACTCACGTCTATTTTAACATCGCTACGCATATACAAAAGAGCTAAACCCACTAATCGCTCTTGTAACATAGTGGAGCGCAGCCAAGTTTTTATCATCTTTAGAAGGGAGAAACTTCTTTCAGATGTCGCAACACTTACGGCAATGAAATCAATAATTGTAGGCATCTATTTGAAGGAAAAATGTTTTCATCACATGATAAATACAGTGACATTCCACTGTCTATAATGTCTTGTGTAAGTGACTTCCAAAGGTCAAATTCTGCTTTTAATCTGGTACTTATTAAATTTTTGTTTTCGTTACTACTTACTCCACGCAAATATTTAGAGATTGTTTCTAATATGTCCATTACTTCAGCTTCAGTTTTTGAAGTAAATACTGACGCAAAGAAAACATTAAAATTGTATATATTCAAAGATTCTTCATTGAACCGGTATACCAAATCCTGTAGTGATTTTCCTTGTCAGACGTATCTATGTTGTGTCTGTTCATTTGCTTGTTATTCTTGGCACAGTCAGTTCAATACCCAGGGTTTTCTAAAGTGTTTTTCGGAATTTGCGGGTCTTTCTTGTACAACTGAAATAATATTTCCTATGAGTTTGAGAGCCTATTGTTCGTCAATTGTTTTTGATTGTAAAATCTTACTCAGGTTGACTCTTAAAGCTAATATATCACACAAACACTTTAGTGATACGATAGATTGGGTGTAAGTCATGGCAGTCTTCAAATACTCCGCTTTTGAAGAAGCTTCGCTTCTTTCCAATTTGATATAATATTCAGTACCTCTACAATTTTCTCGAATTTGCTTTCAAATTGTAGCACAGAATCATGTCTCTCGGTCCATCGTGTTTCACACATACTATGAATTTGAGATCCATCTAGTTTTCTTTTTAATACTGTGTTTCTTTTAGCGGATGCTTTGGAGAACGCAATTACTTCTTTCATTATGCCTACATTATTTCTTACTGCTTGGACATTGCTGCTTTTTGAAATCGAAGGATTTAAGCCATGATTTGCACATGGGCTATTTTCATCAAAATTTGAGTAGCAATCCACAAAGTCCATGAAGTCCTCGTAAATATGTTTTTGAGAACAATACCGCAATACGATTGACATTTGTGATTTATGGCCAATGTCTGTAGTTTCGTCAAATTTAATAGGTACTCTAATACTGACTTTGCCTGACGCGACTTTAAACTATATCCAAGATTTCTTCACCACAACATTCTATAATTTCATTTTTGTTGCGGCTGCTTATGTACGTAGCATGCGCTTGTGAGTTCTCTAAGTTTTTTTCAATGAATTGTCGCCGCTCTCGACTCCAAAATTCCCTTCATCCTCGTGATTCATGCTGTCATTAGAAAAAAGTCGTCCACTATCTCTATGCCCTCTAAGTGGTATATTTTGGCGTCCTAAAAATAAAATAGGAGTCAATCTTTGCCGATTTTCTGATACTGGCTTAATTCGTTCTGAACCTATTATATTTCTTATATCATTCTCTGGATTTTCGTAAATCTTTAAAAAGTTTGTAGCATCTGAAACTGTTTCTGTGTGATATATTGAGTTCTCATGTGTCTCACAATCACCGGTTTTCTCATAAAATTTCGAAAATTTCTTTAGTGGGACGGTAACAAGTTTTCCCAAATTAGTTGATTTATGTACTCCTCCTAATTTTGCAAAAACTACGCCATATTTACAGAAAAGCCCTTATAGTTCCTCTGAATATGACAGCCAATGAAATTTCTCAAAGTATTTTTTTGAAGAAAGGCATAAATTCGACAATGGCTCCTATCAAAAGACAGTTTCAATGAAAATATGGTCAGACCTTATCTATTTAGTCAGCGCAAATATAAATATAATCTCAATGTTATTGACGAAACGGCTAAAAACCAAAATAAACGTTTTAAGGCTATCCCCTTATCACTCGGAATTAAATCTCTCTGAAATGATTTGGGCAAATATAAAAAACGATGTGGCTTCAAACAATAGAACATTCAAATTTTATGACGTGAAATTTTTTTATGAAGCTGTCAACAGAGTGAAGGCAAACCATTGGAAAGATTGCATCTGGCACTCTCAAGAGACAATCGAAACAAAGATGTGTGATCTGGACAATATGATCGATATTTAAATTGAACCTGTAATAATTAATATTAACCATTCGGACAATGATTCAAGTACTTCTAGCAAATAAAGGATTGTGAGAAGTATGCGCACTTCTTTCTATAAAAATAATCGTTTATTTTAATAGATTATTCCAAGACCATTGAGGAAAATAGGGACCTGTACAATCTCTCTTTTGGACATGTTGTATTTTGTCTAGGCGTAAATGGACTACGACTGGGGTATAGTTGTAATCCGAATTTAAAAATCTTGCAATCGCAATATTAAGACGAATTTAACTCGTAATATGTGTACACCGTTTCCCGAATGCTCGACCGTTCAAAGATACAGAACAAATCTCAAGAAACGGGGTTGGTTGTCCCTATCTTGTAGTTTAGACTGATTTTTGCCAAACACCTTTATCAAAGCTATCCAGCTCTAAGAATCAAATATATCGTCTACTAACTTAATATGCTCAAAACTTCATTATATTTTAGCACCTCAGATTTACAAAATAAGATATGAAAAAACGCTAGTTGTAATCCGAGTTTAAAAATATTGCAATCGCAATATTTAGACAAAGAATTTAACTCGTAATATGTGCACACCGTTTCCCCGATGCTCGAAAGTTGAAAGATACAGAACAAATCTCAAGAAACGCAGTATCTAATAGCTGTCACAAAGTTTGTAATGACTTTTACCAAATAGTTTTATCAGAGCTATCCGGCACGAAGGACCAAATATATCGTCTACTGCGATATTGATCGTCTGACAGGCAACCAGCAATACACCATGCAGCACTTTTAGCTGCCTACCTGCATAACCCAATTTATAGCTACCTCGTTGACAGCCATCAACGCCGGTTTGTAGAGTTGAGTTGACCTGAAATCGCTTTTCCAGAATCACTATCCATTAGCGATTACCTCTAAGGTTAAGAATTGCGGCTGATAGCCTTCAGACGGTGGCCAATCGTAAAACATTTAGTTTTTGGCGGATTTTTCAGTACGAAATGAGTACTTCAATGACAACGACGCTGCATTGCGGCAGAAAAACAAAAGCTGAACAGTATTTTAATGATGTACAATACGCTACAGTGGTATAGTCATAACACGGGGCAGGACGAACACATATGGATGTAAAAGTTCCAGAGTACTGGCCGGCCCTTAATGTTAGTAAGGTTTGACGGTTTGAAGGAAGCAGCGGTGGCATAGTGGTAGACGCTACGCTCTCCTAATCAGTCGCCGTGTGCTGCGCGAGTTGGAATCCCGTCCCAAGAGAATTTTTCTCTTGGCAGAATGTGTGCATGCTGCGTGTACACGTGTTCCCTCGTGTGGAGTCCCCCCTTTCCCATGTATCCCCCTATAACCCCATGCTACCCCATCGGTTTTTAGGCATTAGGCCTTCAGACCAGTTTCGTGGAAGTTAAAGTATAAAAAAAGGGACACCAATGAGTCAGACCACCCTCCTCTGCACTGCAACAAGTAGTAGACCAACTCCCGAGTATTATAATATGACAATAAATAAGTTGCTCCGATAGTGCTAATTCATATGTTTTCTGGTAATCCTGATGCTTTTGGGTTTACACCAATAGTTTCTTGGTAAAATCTTCCTCCATTCATTACAACCAAATGTTTGTTAGGTTACCTCTTGTCTTATCACACGACTCCACTTTCCACGTTTAAAATGTACAACTTATGATAGCAGCATTCAAAGGTCGTGACAAATGGCGCTGTCAGTTGAGAATTAATGCCAAGACCAAATATATGGCTCTTTCCAGTTCAATCCATTGTGTGTCAGTCTGAACTAAAGGGGACAAAATTACCTCTTTTCTGCTTTGACCTCGTGATATAAGGCCTAAACATTATTTGAACCTCATTTACATCACATCAAAACACAAGCACTCATCGATAGTGAGTAGATATATTGATTTTGCCTGGTATCTGAGCAAGCAGAGACAGGATCGTCCGTTTTGAAACAGCAATTAGACATTTCTTGTCGCGGGATTTCTAGTTTACATGTCACGCGACTTTCGGCTAATGATATGTCAAAAAGAGGCAACAATGAATATAGAGTTTATATACAAGCCATTAGTTTGCAGAGTTTTTTCTTTCCTTCAGAAAGAATATTGTGAGGCTATGTTTTCTTTTTGAATTGGAGGAAATTTCAAGCTACATAACAGATGATATAAATCAAAGCAACAAATATTTGTAATATAACGCCGACACGAAGCCGTAAAAAACTATGAAAATCAAGCAGGCAATAAAGGCGTCCTAATTGTAGGAACGACTGACGATACGACCCTTAGATCGCAGTCATCACGAAACATCTTTTAAAACAAGTATTCACTGTGATTCTACGTACAGCCCTCAAGCACATCTCTATAAACAAGTCACCGACCGCTTTAAATACTGATAATAAACAGCTGATTATAATGAAGGTATATCAAAATATCAATAAAGTGCAACATCTGCTCTCGATTTAAAAATGAATAAAATGTGATCTCAACGAAACGAGAGTACGGGTATGAAACGTTTATTTGACTAATATGCAGTTCGTACACTCGGAACATTCAATAATGCTTTCCTCTTCGCTTAAAACATCCTTAGGGATGGAAATTTTCTCACCACACCGACACACAAACACAGCTTCGTCATCTACAAAATCAAGTTCGTTCTTTTTTAGCTCTGCATAAATCAAACTACCACTGAAATCGTCCTGTAATAACGACGCATCGTATTCTTTTCTTGACTTTTCATCTCTCAAAGTTTTGAATGCTTTATCGATTTTGACGAATTTTTCCGTACTTGTAGCATCTCCTTGTTTATCTGGATGGTGCTTTTTCACTAACTGCTGATAATTTTGCTTCAATTCGTCAAGTGTCGCGCCTTCGTTACATCCAAGAATTTCGTAGTAGTTTTCATCACCTTTTATACTACTACTTCCTTCTTCTGGATTGTTTGAAGTCATTATACGTTTCGTCACATTAGTAAGCTCACAAATTTGACTATCTCACTTCTATCAACAGGTATCACTTCTTGAAATTTTAGTTTCGCAGTTCGAGTTTGGTGTTTGCCTAACCTCAATGTTTTTTAGGTTAGGATTCAAGGCGCGAGTGGTTGTGTGACGTCATGCAGTTCAAAATGAACAGCAAAATTATTATACTTTTGCTAGTGAATATTCTAGTATGCCTAGCAGAAATACCCATTGTAATCAATACGTGGAAATTTCAACATTCTGCACAAAAAGGTATGCGTATTGGTGATGAGAGTGTTTTATACTCGATGATACTTTTTATATGCTGGCATTGCTGGCTGGACTGTTCTTGTTGCTGTTCGCGCCACATAGCACAACTGTCACTTGTCAAAGCACAGAGCACAGACGCTTAAAGAAGACAAACTCATACAACAGAGAGCAATGTTATAATATTAGACCTTATGGGAAGTTCTCCTTTGGGGTAAATACTGAAGTGGGGTAATTCCAAAATTGTTGATAATAACCAAAACAAAGAGAGATATTCTCATGCAAACTTGCGCAAGAGCATTTGTGCATGTCAAATTGCATGTATAACAGACATACACGCACAAAAGCTGAACTATTTGGACTGTCTAGGTTTACGCATACATTTTTCAACTTTATTTTTGGTTTTACCTCTTTTTCGTTAAAAAATCTGGAAATATCTTAATTGTTTTGAGAAATCGTGGAAAATGAGAACTGTTTGGGTGTTTCGGTAAATGTCTCATTTCGGTAGAAATAACGAAAAATCGGTAGCTTGGCATCACTGGTTATAACGTTATGCACCGATTTACTAGGGAAGGGCAAAAATAATACGATTATGAATAATTAGTCTTTTGAATAAACTTCAATAACTGGAAAGATTATTTTTATTTGTTGTTTACAAAAACGTTACGAAAACAGCCGTTCTGGCAGCTAGATATTTAACATAAATACAAGTACACTTAAGGCAGATGTAAATAACCACAATTTTTTTAACTAGTTCTTGTTACTCATTTCATTTTAAATAGGTATCAAAGTAAATATAATAATTTAACTGCTTTCAGTCTCTACAGGATGGCATGATCAGTATTTAGTCCTTTTCACTGATTTCATTTCAAAATAATTGTAATGCTGCTTTCACTGTACATGAAGTCTTAATTCGAATTTCAATACGACGATCCGTTTTTTGATTGCTCTGTTTTTGATATCATTAATTTTATTTTTTTGCACGAAGTGACATTGTTACCTTCAAATCTTGAAAAGTAAACTTTGCTCAAATTTCTTCTAAAATCCGAATAGCGAGTCAAATTTGAAACATGCTATAATAGGCATGGTGTTTCAAATTGGCACATGGCTCTTTTCTCTGCTCTTGTCAGCTGCCACACAAGCTTCTGTCTGTAAATCTTCACAAGGCAGATCATACGACGGTAGTTGGACTAGCTCGAATATTTGTTTTGGATAAGCCTTGCCCAATGTGTGAGATGGTACTTGTCATTTTGGCCTAAATAAGCTGCATTGATCTAAATAAGCTAATGAAAGAGTGTTTATAGTAAAAATAATTATAAAAATACAATTCTAGCATGGAGTGTGCTGAATGAAGGTGGAGACTCAGCATTAGATGCTCTAACTGCTGGCTGTGAAGTATGCCAAAACGAACAATGTGATTTTACAGTAGGATTCGGGGGATCCCCTGACGAAAACGGGGAAACCACATTGGATGCAATGATATTTGATGGGTAAATATCACTATTTATGTAAATACAGCAAAAGCTGAAATTAACACAGTGACAGTGACGTAAAACCGTATGTTATATTAAACGACGAATTGATGACTATCCCTCAGTCTGTTCCAACCTTGGGTAGACTTGAAAGAAATATATAGGAATACAAAGGAAGGCACATATACACGTACACATAGAAGTTCCGGAACCCCACGATAATTGGTGAATTAATAACGGTATGAAAAAAGTCCCAACATAATAGTGACCTTAGATTCGACATTGATCATGACCTTCAAGGTCATTCGAAGGTCAAGTCGGTTTCTTTAAATGGAACCCTCCATTTTTGGTCCTGTAAATGAAAAGAGCGGAAAGTTTTACATTCAACTATAGTCTTGACAATGCTTAAATTTTGACCTTAGGAGGTCATAGTCAAGGTTAAACCCAGGTCCGGAGATTTAACTTGAAAACCAATAGTCGTGTAGGAAAACTACTGAGACATGGTTTTCATGATTCTTAACCGGATATCCAATAGTGATCTTGGATCTGATGATGACATTCAAGATGAAGGTCAACTCGATTTTTGTAGCCAGGCAACAATTCTGAAAGAACGGCGAAGAAGTCTTCTGAGTTATCAGGAAATTAAAGTAAACTTTTGCTTGACCTTGATGATCAAGTCCAAGGTCAAGTTGAAAAATTGGTCAAGGACACATCCGAATATAAAAGTTTCCCTTTTCTACATTCCGCGGTCAAAAGTATAGAGTCTCATTAAAAAAAGTTGACCTTGTAATGGCCTTGTATGTTAGGTTATAGACAAAATCAGATCCAATATCACCACTCGAATTCCAGGGAAAATAATGTTTGGGAAGTTTTCCTATACGACTACAGGACGTTGACCATGATCTTTTAAGATCAAAATTTCAGAATGGTAATCCCTTATTTGAATGAAAAATTGCCCGCTCTTTTCATTTGGGGGTCAAAAATAGGGGGTTTGTTTCACGAAAACCTACTTAACCTCCAAATGACCTTGAAGGTCATTGTCAAGGTCAAATACAAGGTCACTATTGGATAGCTGGGAAAAACTGCTATCAATCACAGGGCTTAGTTTTTCATCATTAGTTCACAAATTATCGTCGGAATCAGGAACTTTTCAGACAGCTTGATATATGGTTCCAGATAGTAAGTACACTACGAATCAAATGTAAGGCGAACATCCATAGTTACTTCATAGCCCAATTGTTTCTAGGAAAACAATCTTTCGATACATGAAAGTAAAGGACTTTTTAAACTATCGATCTTTCAAATGTGGTTAAAGTACCAATCATGAAATCAAAAAGTGCAAATTTAGCACTAAAGCTCAAAAGACAACTCCAAAATTGAAAATCTAATGCACTTTACGCCTGAGTTTACCGACGATGCAGCCATCGCTTTTACCTTTGCACTGTCACATTTTCCCTCTTTTGGCTATTGACGAAACCGAATTGACGATACCACCTTTGAGTCTGAGGTTCTGTGCAATGTTTTCCTCAGGATCGTATTTCGTACTGTACAGCGCAGTACATTTGTATTCTGTATACTAGGAAGTACTTCCACACTTGTAACGTCCTTCCAGGGGTATCTGAGGGCTGGATCGTCAACCACCCCAAACTATATTGAAAAAAGGTGCTGAAAAAGCAGAGGTTCTCTTATACTGACCAAAAAGGGCCAACTTGTGTGTGTGTGGGATTTCTAATACACACACATAGAGTTTTTTTTTTAGTATCATCAATCCATGATATTATTTTTTCTATTTGCTTTTCAACACTTGTATAGTGTTTCTCTGTAATTGGATCTTGTATCTGTTGAGAAATATATGAATAAAATAAAAATAAAACTTGTAGGACAACTTCTGGACTATCTCGTCTTCCTGTCCACACCCTATACATAAGGATATTGCTCGCAGACTGATGTTAAAGAGACGTTTCCTTAGCTGACACTCCTGTCCAGTTGCAATGCTAAGTTCTTAGCTGCATTCTTGGTAGGATGCCCGAAGAATTCTTCATCGAATAAGGACGACGTTTAATCCTACATGCTCCTGAAGGTTTTGAGGGTGTACCATTTTAGAATAGTTGTTAGCAAACGGGCTTGGGCCCAGAATTCTGGGTTCAACAGCCCTTCTTGTCTATCAGCCGTAGTGTATACCTTTGGTGAGTGACTTGACCTTGATATTTCTTATGTTGCTAGCGACACTATGGATATGGGAGCGGTAGGTGGAATAAGAAGCATTAAAAACGTCATAAAAGTTGCAAGGCACGTCCTTGAACGCACAGAGCATTCCTTATTGGTAGGAAGCTTGGCGACGCAGTTTGCGAAGAGTTTCGGATTACCCAAGGAACCGTTAGCGACCAACTACTCCCTGAACTTGTGGAGGGAGTGGAGGTTAAACAACTGTCAACCTAATTTTTGGAAGGTATGCAAGAATTCATTTTGTTATTTGAAAACCTAGATGAAAGTACGATATAATAAGAGTAAGATGTGGATGACCGATATAAATGTACAGGGTGTCCTAAAAGTCTGGACTTTTTTTTAAGAAACATCCTTTCTTGGAATAACAAAGCTAATGTGCGAATAATGAAAAAAAGAAACAAATGAAAAAGTACTCCCGTACATTTGCAGAGAAATTTCAAGTACGGCTAGGTCACTTATGATTACAATTCGTTCAAGTTGACGCCGTTGATAATAAAAGGTTCAGTGAGCATACCATTTACCAACCCAGCCCAAATATTTTAGAAAAAACGTGACTTTAATATTGAAGATTTGCACTTGTCTAGCGATTTTCTAATGCTTCTTGAAGGATCTCCTTCTACAAGATATAATACGGCTTGACTAGGTCTGCACAATTTAAACAAATCTAGGCGGTCCTGATTGATCATGTCTGGGAAAACGATCTGCATGCACTCGGCAAGCCTCGGTAGCATTTTGAAGTTGACCATTAATTAAAAGCATGTCGACAAGTTAAATATTACGAGTAACTGAATGTTTTGCACCGTGTCCCAATAATGTCCCAACTTTCGGGACACCCTGTACATATAATACTTTTGAGATGTAACATCTAAAACATATCATGTGACTTTCATGCTGATAATCCCCCACGTTTGACTAGACGCACCAAACAGCATATATGATTAAAATTCTACGTTCGATGACTAGTACTACAGGTCAAACTTTTCAGAATGTCGAACCAGATCCTAAAAGTAAGTGTGGCCCATATAAACCTGCAAACTTTGAAAGCGAAAGTGATGTTGCAAGTAAATTCGACACAGGAAATCACGATACAATTGGTATGATCGTTATATCAAGAAGAGGTCATGTTGTAGCTGGTACTTCAACCAATGGAGCAAAATTCAAGATACCAGGGTAAGGATTTATTATCTCAGAAATAACACGCCAGAATATCCCTACTTTTTGCTCCTTTTTGCCTGTTATGGCTATAAAGAATTTGTAACTTATGATTTTTTTTTTCAGAGCCATTATTATAATTTATTTACATTTTTTCATGACAGATACAGAAACATTTTCATGACAGCGTTTTTGTTTTATCATACAATCACTTTACACTTTCGACCTATATCCAGTTGATCAAATGCAGGAGAGCTTTTTGCCTTCTTCCACATCGGTGGATATCAATAAGAGCTTGAAACCATTCGAAAAAGTTCAAAGACTATATTAGTAACGTGTACGTTTTATGGCCGTTTGTACCAGTTTTCTCAAATACCATATACCACTTAGCAAAATGAAGCTTACCTTTAAGGTACATCTTAGATTGAATTTGTGTTGCACCGTCGCATCTTGAACGGTGCTTAACTACAGTATATTCAGATAAGAGATAGACCGGACATAAACAAGACCACGTGATCATCGAACGCTGTAACATTCGGCAGGGACGTATTAAGAGTCACGCAGTACATATTTTAGATAGTAGATGCTGCTTTGCGTAACTTTGTAGTAAATTAGCACAATTCGATGTGTATACGATTGGTGATGGATATAGGATCATGTGGGGGTGGGATAAGAAATATATAATGATGTAAATATACATAAGGGCTTCAAAATTTTCGCTTCGATTTCCAGCTTCGGATGCCGCCTGATGTTTGGTGAAATACAGTCGAATATAATCTCAAAATGGCGTTTAAATTAGCCTAAATTAAAAATAATCGTATATCTCTTAAAATTGCTTTTAGAATATTGATTAGTATATTTTTTGATTTCTAGGTAAATATGTAACCAAATTAAAACGTTCAAAACGTAAAAAAATGTGCATGGTTGAACATTGTCAGAAAGTAGATTCTTGAATAGGTTTTGCCAAAATGGGTTCAAAAATTTCAATAATTAATTAAAAAATACAGTAGCTTTATAATTACTTATAACTTACCGAATTTGATGAACGACATCTTTTATTGGAAAGATGAGCTTGATGAGCTTTCATCATCGCTACTGCCTGAAGCACCAACGTCAATAATGAATGGCTCGACTTGTTCCTCTAAAATATTGTCCAGTTCCCACATTCTCTTTTCAACTTTGTCTTTCACGTGCTTAACACAGTTTTCCCATTTTTGCGCTGTTATTAATTCTAGTGCTTCTTTGAAAAGTCCTTTGAGGTCACAAAATTTAAAAGTTGTATTGTGCTTAGCTATATAATTTTTAACCTCTGCCCATATGAACTCAATGGGATTGAGCTCGCAATGGTATGGAGGTAAACGGAGCACAGTTTTATTTTGACTTGCTGCCATTTCGTCAATGGCGTGTTTTTGATATTCCGCCTTGTGATCCTTGACAATTCTTAATAATTGTACTTTCAGCATTGCTTCTTCAAAGTTGATATTTTTCGAGCGGAGCCAATTTTGAACATCAACTTTCCTTGAAGCCGTTGTTGGGACCTTCTCCATTCTTCGAGAATGATAAGGCGCATTATCCAACACAATTACTGCGTTTTCCTCTAAGTTCGGTAAAATTTTTGAAAACCACTGTTCAAACGATTCGCCATTCATTTCCTCGTGGTAATCTCCAGTTTTCTTAGACTCAAAGCACCACAGACCGTCAACAACAAATCCATCCTCACTGCCAATATGGCAGATAATGAGCCTTTTCCCTTTACCTGGAAATCGAAGTACTAACTGGTGTAGATTTATTTCAATAAGCGAACCTTTTTCAAATGTTTTCATCACATTCAGCGAAAAAACATTGAGACATTAGTATCAGATTGCTATAATTGGGATTATTTAGTCATATTGAAAGAAAGAATATTGAACGTCGTATGATTACTCAGCGCTTCACAATTTAATTTAAAGTTATAAACCTTTAAAAAATGAATGATCAGGAACCTGAAATACGCGCAAATATTAATATTAACAAATTATAACTTTATAAAGCTTAAAGTATGAATTAAAATGATTAAAAATACTAGGAACGGTACACAATATAAAACTTTTTTTAAGTTTATAATATTCGACATATTTTAAGATTATATTAAAAAATTATTGAAATATCGAAAACACATAAAAACATGGCTTAAAAAAGTTCTAACAAATGAAAATGACAATAAAACATCCACGCATTTTATCGAAAGTTATAAAAGTTTTGTTACTTGTAATATGTTTTATCTGCCCCCTGGAATTAATGTTTAGAACCTTGTTCCCAAGGTTTGAAAAACATCCGATTGTTGTCTATTACTCGTATTTACCTGCTGGATTTTTTAATCCGGTGGACAGTCCATCTAGAAAGGCCCTCCTGGATGAAGTTACAGAATCATCAACCCATACTTTACTTGTAGTGTGTCCTGCGTTTACCCACGTTTCATCAAGGTAATAAATCTTCCTGTTTTGATTTCTATATTTCCCAATTTTTGTTAAATAATCCCTCCTCCATAGCACAATTTCTTCTCTATCCAGTAGTAAACTATTACGACCCCGTTTTTTCCATTTGAAATTTAAATGCTTCAGTAACGCATGGAAAGTTGATCGTTTGAAATTTGGCAACGTTGTATCTCCATTTACCTCCTGCAGTACTTTATCTAGAGTAGGTATTTCATTCCTAAAGAAGAATTCATGCACTTTCCTCCTAATCGCATGCTTATCAGCTTCATCCAATGATTTAACAATACTTTTGCGATGTTTACTGGTCATTGGCTCAGAAAAGGTGTGATTTTTTTTGTATTGACTTAACACATTAAACACTGATGCGCGACACACGCCAACTTTGTGAGAAACCTTCACAACAATTTCTTTGATGGTTGATGCCTCGTTCTCCTCGCGCTCGATCTTATATATATTCAAAATGACCTCTTTCATTTCTGCACTCAGGTGTCTTTTTTTAGAGCGTTTCCTAGGAGGACTACAGGAGTTTACAACTTCATCGGCAGTATCTGTACTACTGGGCATTTTGCGCAAGCAGTTGATAACAATAACAATCAATAACAAGGTATAACAATAACAACGACAAACTCAACAACTTAATAAGATAACAAACGAAAACGTCCAAAGAAATATCACATTGCAATGATGCACACGACATACGTAACACGTCTGAACCTGAATGTGACTCTGCCTTGATACGACTGCTCTGCCGCTCGGCATAGGCATTTAATTGCGAATTGACCAATGAGGGCTCCTGTTTTACGTCGAGACGGCGGCGTTAGCGTGAAAATCACCCGAACCTTTTTGTTTACATCCGGTCTATCTCTTATCTGAATATACTGTAAGCGTACTATTTTCTTGGCAACCATGTATATTTTTTTGTAACTAATGAGTACTGCAAGTAAAATATACGGTTATGTCATAGTGTCAGAAATCCTAATACTTAACGGGTGCGAAATATAAATTTACCTCAGTTGCTGCTACAAAAAAAATATTTGTTGTTGAACATTATATCCGACCATAAACATATAATAGAAAACAAAACATAAGTGATGCCCTCACTTGGAGAGAAAAGAACGAGACCTGGTAAACAATTACAAATTTCTTCAATTCCCGATCACCGAAAAATTATTCTAGGACAAAGGAGTGTTTCAGGAAATATTACAACATTAAAAAAATATCAGGAAACGAGACAAAAGTTCCATGATATTTCCTCAGAAACCGCTTCTCAACCTTCAGAATATGACTGAAAATTAAAACTAAACTATTTCCCAGCATTTTTAGGTTATATGTAACTTATGCTCAACAAACCTTCGGTTTACCTTTTTGGCCCTTGACCTTCACTTAAAGTTACAAATAATAGCGGTTCAACAAAAATTTGTGCGATACTGTCCACCTTAGGTTAAGTTTCAGTTTAGCAAGAAAAAAGTTGCATCTGGAGATTTGTAAAAAGTCTTATTCATTTATTTCATAGAAGGGTGGGTGATTCACCCATCCCTGGGGCCGGAGCCTATGCAGATAGCAAAATCGGTGCTGCGGCAGCCACTGGAGATGGAGATATTATGATGAGATTTCTTCCCAGGTAATCACCATACATCTTAAGCGTAGCATTATGCTAAACTTCGCCTCCTAAATAAAGACGATTTATTATTATCTTAAAATTGAGTCTCCTAGTTTCATAGCCCCTTAAATCCATTTTTCAACCAAATTGAAATAGCGTTACCATCCGAGGTAGTAGGTTTAGTTTTTGGGTTGGTTTCAAAAAAATGCCCCCAATTCCAGAAGTGTGTGAAATCCAAAAACTTCTAAATCCATTTAGTAACAAGACCTGCTAAATACATAACATTTGGGTGTATCCTATATCCTCTAAATCCAACTATTGTATGTGTTGAGACGATTTTTTAAGAGGTATAGGATTTGATTTTGAAAAAAAAACACAAAAAATTTGAAAAAACGATTAAATATTTGTTTGAGTCGATAGAACGGTCGATATAATTTAATGTTTAAAGATTATTTCATGTAAATGTTGGCCGCGGCTCCGCTTTAGGTGGCCCATGCGCAAGGTCCAATTTTGGCACACTCTCTCCAACTTATCGGCCGGTATCTCACGAATAAATGCTTCAATATTGGCTTCCAGTGCGTCAATCGTTGCTGGTTTATCCCTGTAGACATTAGCCTTAACATGGCCCCACAAGAAATAGTCCAACGGTGTTAAATCACACGATCTAGGCGGCCAATTGATGGGCCGTAAACGTGAGATAAACTGTTCACCGAACTCGCCTCTCAATAGGGCCATTGTTTCGTGTGTGGTGTGGCATGTGGCACTGTCTTGTTGAAACCACATCTCAGCCAAGTTCAGCTCTTCCATTTTGGGCAAAAAAAAGTTTGTTATCATCGCACGGTAGCGCTCGCCATTCACAGTTACGTTCCGGCCATTGTCGTCTTGAAGAAGTACGGCCCGATGATACCACCGGCCCATAATCCACACCAAACAGTTATTTTTTCGGGATGCATTGGTAGCTCTTGCATTGCTTCTGGCTGGTCTTCACTCCAGATGCGGCTATTTTGCTTGTTAGCGTACCCATTCAACCAGAAATGAGCTTCGTCGCTGAACACAATTTTTCGATAAAAATGTGGATCTTCCTCCAACTTTGCCAGCGCCCATTCACCAAATTGGAAACATTGTGGGAGGTCGTGTGGCTTCAATTCTTGCACCAGCTGTATCTTATAAGGTTTTACACCCAAATCCTGTCGCAAAATTTTCCACGTAGTGAGTAACAGAGGCCCAATTGCTGCGAACGGCGGCGAATCGACATTTCACGGTCATCACTAACACTGGCGGATACAGCCGCAATATTTTCTTCAGTCCTCACTCTACGTCTGCGTGTTGGTGGTTTAATGTCCAATAATTTAACTGGGTTCGAAATTTAGTCACAAGCTTCCGAATAGCTCCCTCAGTAGGCCGACCAAATTGCCCATAAATTGGAAGCAGTGCTCGATGCACTCTCTTAACCGAGCATGAATTTTGATAGTAAAATTCAATAATTTGCAAGCGTTGTTCATTCGTAAGTCGATTCATGGTTAAATTATAGACCAAACTGAACAAGTTTGACAATGACACAAGACACGATTCACGCGTCATCTGTGAAAAACAGTGTTGCCAAAAAGATACTAGCAAAAAAATCACCCATTACAAACCACGCGCTAGAGTTGAGCGCGTTTCACATACATTGAAATTCGACGGTCTGTTCAACCAATCAAGGAAAACTTTAATGAAATGCAATTTGTTGCAAACCTGTCAAAAGTATTGAAATATCAAATAGCATTAAACAAGGTTAAGGTTGATCTAAATGTGAATTTTGAGGCGATTGGTAAACATTTTCCGAAAAGGAAAACCTTATGTAATACCAAGATATTTGTATACGATTTTTCGGATGAGTTTATCCGCAACAATGAGTTTAGTTAACAACCATTTGAAAGAAAGGAAAAATGGGCGCCGGCAAGATTCGAACCCGCTCCTCCTCCAGGTTGCTGCTCTCGCATGGTGGTACCGTGATGTGTGCCCGCGAGACCGCGTGATGCATCTAGAAATCGATTGGAGATACCTTATCCGGTTTGTTTCACTTGAACGCCGCCAGATGGGGCATCAAGCAGTTTGCAAGAACAAAGATACAGTGGCGGGTGTAGGAATGAATTCGCCTCTAACAGTCGATCCTGAAAGCTGGTTGGCAGCTGGTTCTGAGAGTAAATTGTAAGGTCGTCTCCGCGGCGTGGAGGAGATGTGGATTCGAATCCCGCCGGCGCCCATTCTCTCAAGTTTTTTTTCTTACGAAGATATTGTTACAAGATTCGGAAAGGGTGTGGATAGGTGAGATAAGTGACGGAAGCTGATATCGTTTAATGTTTTTCTATCTTGCGACGTATGTTTAATGATAAGTTATCACTACAGTTCCGTTTTATTTTTTGCTTTGAAGGTGGTGTTACCAGAACCTTTAAATTTTGAAGCAGCATCCCCCAAACCCGATTTTTTTTTCAAAACTAGCTAAATCCAAGAAGGTGTTTATGTTTTCCGAAAAACTGTTGAAGTCAGATTTTTTCGAGAACAAAATGTTACCACCTATTCCTCATATAACAGCCCCAATTTGCTTATTTTATGGCCAATAGCAAACTTGCGTTTTTCCTGAAAAATGTCCTGAAGCAGGTGAGCAGTTCTTGACTCAATTTTCGGAACGTACCGTAACTTGTAATACCAGTGGGAAAGTTCATATTTCAAATTTGAATTACGCGGCTACCGTATACGCGAGGAAGTGGCAAGAAGTCGTGATCAACACCTTCGGCACGCGGGTTAAATAATCACAATGGAACGTTGGACCGAAGCGCAACGTGTTTTTGCTATCGAGGCTTACTTGCAGAGTGGTGATTCATATGCAGCTGCCTAAAAAAAGTGCATTTTAATAATTCATGAACACTGCAGGAGCTTAAAGACAACATTCTACGAAAAATAAACAATATTACACCGGAACTCTGGAAGAGTGTTACAGAATTTGCGCGCGCGATTAGAAGAGTGAAATATTTTCTTTTCATTAAGCTTGTATTTTTTTTCTTAAATCAAAAGGTGAACTTCCCCACTGGGCATCCTTTTAAAGCCTTTCTTTCTTCAAAGAGGTAACATCACGACCGTCCACTATATTACCTCCATATGATTTTTGAAATATACAGGGTGACTTTGAAGTTGAGTCATTAATTTTCAGATAATGATTGTAGAAGGAAGATAAACCAAAATATGTGTGTAAAAATAAAAAAAAATAAAAAAAAAAATAAAAAAAAAATTTACCTTGTTTTATAAAGTATCCTCCCGACAAGTATTTCAGTGCGGACCTGTATTTGATCGCGAGGTCTTGGAGCACCGGCATGCCGTCCATATGTGAGGTCTTAAGTCACCTGATTCACGAACCCGTTGTACTACATTAACAAAGGCACGAGGGGTTGGTTGCACTCGATTGGGAAACCGATCCGCATAAACATGTGCCATTTTTTATTTCGTTTGAGCCATGCAACACACACCACTATTCACTACCGACTGACACTGACTGTATACAACTGAATGAAATAATTGTAAAAACATCGTTCCAAATTCTTTCGCTTTTTTGTTTCCGATGCGATGAACCGATAAGGCGGATTATATCCGTTGTCGCCAAACACGAGCACATAATATTATTATTGAGACAGGGCGGTACTCAAACTTCCAAAGGGCTATAACTTTGTTACTTTAATTTTACCAGAAAAATGGTAAAGGAAAAAAACATCTCTTTTGATCAGATCTACTCACTGTTAAAATAAATGACTCAACTTCGAAGTCACCCTGTATATATATAGATATAGAATAGATAATAATTCCCTCATTATTCTCTTTTTGTATGAAAAGTTTATTAACACTTCCACTGCTGACATTAAGCTTTTTTGCCAGTTGCAGATGACACACTTGCGTGACATCTGACCGTTTTTTTTTTATATAAATTTGGCTTTATAATGAACTGTTCTTTTTACTGAGTTTTAATAAAATTGATATAGCCTTTCCAACAGAAAAAATATAATGACACACATGCTATATATAGGCTTCAGTTTACTACTTAGACAATTATAAAGCCTAAGAAGTTAAAATTTTAGAAAAGAAAACATTGTCGCATCTGGGTTACTCTACATCATATACTAAGTGACTTATAAATCCGAACACCGAGTTTAAATGGTTTTATTTTAATAAAATTTTGTGGTAAGTACTTAATGAAGCATAATAAGTAAATGATAAAAATTTCAAAATGATTGCATTGCTTTAAAGCCCTTTGACCTTTAATGATGCGTGCACCCTGATGTGCTACGCATTCTCCAACGCGCCTAGGCATGCTTCTGATCAGGTGGTCAATGTCCTCCTGTGGTATCTCATTCCAGGCAACCACCAACTCCTCTCGAAGTGCTTCTAGAGTCTGAGGAGGACGTTGCAAATTGAGCAATCTCCTACCCATCATATCCCACACGTGCTCAATTGGGGATAAGTCGGGAGATCTTGGTGGCCATGGTAACAATGTGACATCATTATGTTGAAAGAAGTCTATTGTGACTCTTGCAACATGTGGTCGGGCATTATCTTGTTGAAAAGTTGGATCTGCCAGGGTGTCAAGATAGGGTAAAAGATGGGGTTCTAGAACTTCGTGGATATAACGCTGCGCGTTCATGTTACCTCTGCTGAAGATTAAAGGTGACCTGGAACCATAAGCTATAGCACCCCAAACCATAACTCCAACAGTGTGATGAACATGTCCTTCAACAAAAAACCGTGGATTCCTCCTTTCACCACGTCGCCTTCTAACCCTGGCACGACCATCGTGCATGCCTAAACAAAATCGAGACTCGTCACTAAAGACAATACTGTTCCATTCCTGATCCCAGAGTGACCGTTGTCTGCACCACTCAAGGCGATTACGCCGGTGTTCTCGAGTTAAAGGGAGGACCCAGTGTGGCCGGTATGAAAACAAGCCAAAACTTCTCATTCGTCGGTAAACACTTCGCATGCCAATAGGTCTTCCGTGTTCTGCAAACCATTCATTTGCAATGGACCTGGTAGTGGAGAAACGGTCCCTTAAGGCCAATAATCTTAGGCGGCGATCTTCAGGGTCTGTTGTTCTATGGCGGCGTCCAGTGCCCCTTGCTCTTTGCGTACGGCCTTCTCGAAGCCATGCCTGACAACACCTAACCACAGTGTCTACACTTCTTTGCACTCTAACTGCAATTGCCCGAAAAGAAAGTCCAGCTTCCCGAAGTCCCACTATACGGCCCCTATCAAACTCACTAAGTTGACGAAATCGTACAGGTCTCCGTACTCTAGGCATCGTAACCGATCGTAAAGGATGTCAAGAACCAAAATCCGCCAACGTTGATTCTTTACTGCGGCTGAAATATTCATTTTTAGGGCGTTAGTGAATTAAAAAAAGCAGTATAAAAACCGGAATGTCCAACTGATAAGGCTGAAAATTTTTTCACTTGTTATTTACAGTAAGATAAATACATTTACCAACTTTTATTAAAATAAAACCATTTAAACTGGGTGTTCGGATTTATATGTCACGTAGTATAGAAGCTAGCAGCGAAAGTGTTAACTCCTTTTCTTTGTTGGTTTTGGACACTGAAAATGACTCGACGGAGTTAAATCACCACTTCTGTACATAATGTGTACCTAATTTCATTTTTCTTCAGTTTTCTGGCAGTGGAACAGCTGAGGCTAGGTGCCTCGCCGTCGAAAGCGGCCAAAATAGCAATCACAAGAATCGCTGAAAGATATCCAAAATTTTTCGGTGGTATCGTAGTGACTGACAATAAAGGAGAAATTGGTGCCGCCTGTAATGGGATGGAAAAATTCCCTTTCACTGTTGCAAACGAAAGATTTCCGGAAGGCATCACAAAATATGTTTCTTGTACAGATTATACAAATAAATAATTGATTAAAGAATATAGCAAATATAGATCGTTATCCAAAAGTAAGTTAGTAGTTGTGTTTGGAAAATAACTGAAATTTTTAAGTATCGCCGGCTTGGACAGTCCGATTGTCAAACATTTTTTTATTAGGTTGATATCATGTCCCTGAAGTATTGAAAAATGTTCAGCTGTATTCATTGTTTACTTATATCATGTTTCGTAAAAAATAAAATAAATACTGTGTGTGAAATTTTATTTTGTTTTATTTTTAAACTTTACAAATATTAACAAAGGCCTATGATGAGCCTTCTAGGAGTAAAACAAGAGTTTACGAGTAGTAATATGATCGAGGTAACGCGGCAAATATTAATCATATTAGACGTGGTTTGATTGATGCTAGTTGTTCAAGGGAGTATTCAAAACATGTACGCATAAAATGGGTACACCAATTTTTGTGGGAAAACTTTTTATTCGACAACAAAGAATGAGATAAAACGTGTTTTTTTGAGATTCAATCGAAAGTGTTGACAGGAACGAACAAACTCTCCATATGAGATTTTAAGGTATTTATGAAACCTATAAAATGAGACCACACGTAAAAAGATCCAGCTAATAACAAACAAGTTAGAAATTCTCAAAAACTAGGAGATAATGGTTTTTCTGATTAGAAATAACCTCCTTTTTATCCCCTTTTGTTTGTTCCATGCCTTTTGGGATACCCTTAAGGGAAATCATGAAATAAAAAAACGAAGAAGCGAATGTTTGAATAAATTATAATTTCGAGACTCAAATTTGATGAACATTAATTGGTGCTAAACTGAAATAGGATGACTATGTAGGTAGCGATAGATCCAGACAACTGAAACATAAAGTGAAATCACTTTTTTTAAATATACTTGATCGCTCTAATGCAACCATAATTATATCAAATGTACTTACTGCTGTCAAAACAGATCTGTCTAGGTTGAACAAATGGAAACAAGAAAACTTTACCGGTTGTTGAGATGCTTGGGTAATGAATACTTCAACCTGGAAAATGATTTGATGAATAGGAATCATCTATAAATAACTTTTTGAAACTTACTATTTTTCTAGTATTATCCGTAATGTCATACTTTCCTAGCAGATCACAGAGTAGAGCAATTGTCCTTTGTCCCTGAAAAAGTGTGAATACACTAGCGAAATATGTGTTCTTTTCTATACTACAACTATTTAAAACTGTAATGACTCGTACGTGTGATCAACACGTGATCAGAGCTCGATCCCGGCTTCCTTCCAGTACAGCCGTATAGCGTACGACATATGTCGTTTCTGTGGTTTTGCGGTGGTCAACAGCACAGACAGAGATGGAAATAATCGCTGATTGTTCTCCGCCGGTAGAACCAATGAAATCAAAGACGCGCCTCGACCGGCAGACCCATAGGCGTCGGGAACGCATTGGAACGTGTTTCGTTGAGCGATCGCATGTTGTGTGTTTTTATAAGAATTGTTGTGTGATTGTTATTGTTGTGGTTTCTGTGGTTACTGTTTTGGTTATAGTTAACCATGCAGAGTACAAATGGCACGACAAAGCAGAAAAATCTATTATTTGGACGAGACATGGGTAAATGCAGGTCACACAGTTGAAAAAACCTGGATAGACAAAAACGTAGTGAGTAACCGACAAGCAACCATTGAAGGTTTGTCAACAGGTCTTCGTGGACCGTCAGGGAAAGGTCAAAGATTGATCGTAACTCATATTAGTAGCGATAGTGGCTTTTTAGAAGAGTGTGACTTGATTTTCGTCTCTAAGAAAGGAGGTGATTACCATGACGAAATGAATGCCAGCTGCTTCGAGAGCTGGTTTCAAGGGGTGCCAACTCTGTGATCTTCATGGATAATGCTTCCTACCATAGTCGTCGAGCCGAACGTGTACCGACTATGAGAACGCGAAAAAGTGACATGCAGCAATGGTTGCGCGAAAAAGGAATCCCGTTTGACGATTCATGTGTGAAAGCGGAATTGTATGAAAAAATTAAACAGCACAAACCTGCGAACATTAGTTACGTGACTGATGAGATGGCCCGTCAATGTGGTGTCACTGTGCTGCGGTTACCGCCCTACCACTGTGAACGGAACCCAATAGAGCTCATCTGGGCTCAAGTGAAGGGTTGTATTGCGCGCCATAACACAACCTTCAAATTACCAGACGTTAAGGTTTTACTTGAGACTTCCATACAGCTAGTAACGCCCGAAGCTTGGCAGAATGCTATCCGTCATGTTGTGAAAGAAGAAACAAAAATGTGGCAGCTTGACCACCACATCGACACCATCATAGAGCCAGTTATAGTCAATTTCAACGAGGAAAGCGATAGCGACAGTTTATTACTGTCAGATGTAAGTGGAAGCGACGATGAATAAAGGTAATTCCCAAATTTTTGACTTACAATATGTTTCAAACCACTCTTTATTAAGCATGTGACAAATCTAGTTCACCCATGTTAAACATTCATACCCCGCCTATGAACAGCCGACTACTGGTAGTTAAGTGATGTTCACGTGAACATCGATGAGTCATTACAGTTTTAGATAGTCATAGTATAGTCGCTCTATGATATTAGGTTGTTCGGAAACTTCTTGCGGTTTTTAACCTTCAAATTCAAATCAGCATATCTCAGCTTCAACAAAACTTTATTAATCAAAGCCATTAGAATCAGTACACCTTTACCAACGAGAAACAAGTTCACTTATGCCGCTAACGTAGAAATCCGGAGTTCTGGAGACGATGAACTCATTGAAGGTATTTTTGGCATCGTTGTTGAAGCATTTCTCGTGAAGGAAGTTGTCGAGGAAAAAGTGGTAGTCGGTGGGCGAGAGATCCGGAGAATATGGTGGATTTCATAGCAAAATTCGTTCAGCTTTTGCGGAGTCGCTTGTGCGACGTGTGGCCAGGCGCTGTCGTGGACAGGAATTGGCCTCTTCATATTGATCAATCTAGAGTGCATACGTTGGAGAAATAAGCTATCGTTAAGCAAAACGAATACAACGACCGTGTAGCGCAAAAAATGCTTTTTAAAATGATATATAAAGTCAAAGTATTATAAATAAATGTTAGTGTAAAATGCAACTTTCCGAACAACCTAATATTCAAAACTACAACACAGAACAGTAGAACAACACCATACGTTCAAATATGATCTACCCGATTTCTGTGCTTACTTCTAAGCTACAAGACTGGCACGGCTCGATGATGATCAACAGTCGGGCTATGTGGGTCGCGATCCAAACCACTTGAAGAAAAGTAAATACAACGTCACAGTCCGGCTTGACAACTTCAGCTAGTAAGAAATACGGTGTGATGATAAGGTGGATCAAACAGCTGAACATCATTAACTAAAATATATGAAACGTCCATCAAAATGAAGTGATTCAGAGTTGAGAAAGAGTATTTGATATATATTATTGAATATATCTTTCATACCGGAAACGCTTTATATTGATCATGACTTGTGACAGAAATTGACTTATACGTCCATAAATTGTAGTAAAAAGCTGAATAAACGTTTCTTAATAGCAAATCGAACTAAAAGGTACAAAATATTGTAATAGAGCGTTCACAAATCAAGTATGGTTAATTATACTAAGTGACATATAAATCCGAACACCCAGTTTAAATGGTTTTATTTTAATAAAATTTTGTATAAGTACTTAATGAAGCACAATAAGTAAATGATAAAAATTTCAAAATGATTGCACTGCTTTAAAGCCCTTTGACCTTTAATAATGTGTGGATGCACCCTGATGTGCTACGCATTCTCTAACGCGCCTAGGCATGCTTCTGATCAGGTGGTCAATGTCCTCCTGTGGTATCTCATGCCAGGCAACCACCAACTCCTCTCGAAGTGCTTCTAGAGTCTGAGGAGGACGTTGCAAATTGAGCAATCTCCTACCCATCATATCCCAGACGTGCTCAGTTGGGGATAAGTCGGGAGATCTTGGTGGCCATGGTATCATTATGTTGAAAGAAGTTTATTGTGACTCTTGCAACATGTGGTCGGGCATTATCTTGTTGGAAAGTTGGATCTGCCAGGGTATCAAGATAGGGTAAAAGATGGGGTTCTAGACCTTCGTGGATATAACGCTGCGCGTTCATGTTACCTCTGATGAAGATTAAAGGTGACCTGGAACCATAAGCTATAGCACCCCAAACCATAACTCCAACAGTGTGATGAACATGTCTTTCAACAAAAAACTGTGGATTCCTCCTTTCACCACGTCGCCTTCTAACCCTGGCATGACCATCGTGCATGCGTGAACAAAATCGAGACTCGTCACTAAAGACAATACTGTTCCATTCCTGATCCCAGAGTGATCGTTGTCTGCACCACTCAAGGCGATTACGTCGGTGTTCTCGAGTTAAAGGGAGGACCCAGTGTGGCCGGTATGAAAACAAGCCAAAACTTCTCATTCGTCGGTAAACACTTCGCATGCCAATAGGTCTTCCGTGTTCTGCAAACCATTCATTTGCAATGGACCTGGTAGTGGAGAAACGGTCCCTTAAGGCCAATAATCTTAGGCAACGATCTTCACGGTCTGTTGTTCTTGCTCTTTGCGTACGGCCTTCTCGAAGCCATGCCTGACAACACCTAACCACACTTCTTTGCACTCTAACTGCAATTGCGCGAAAAGAAAGTCCAGCTTCCCGAAGTCCTACTATACGTCCCCTATCAAACTCACTAAGTTGACGAAATCGTACAGGTCTCCGTACTCTAGGCATCGTAACCGATCGTAAAGGATGTCAAGAACCAAAATCCGCCAACGTTGATTCTTTACTGCGGCTGAAATATTCATTTTTAGAGCGTTAGTGAATTAAAAAAAGCAGTATAAAAACCGGAATGTCCAACTGATAAGGCGGAAAATTTTTTCACTTGTTATTTACAGTAAGATAAATATATTCACCAACTTTTATTAAAATAAAACCATTTAAACTGGGTGTTCGGATTTATATGTCACTTAGTATAGTTTGGAATATCAGCATTGAAATTAGGAGCTCAACAAAAAATTCAATTATCGTAAAAAAGCGTCGCTGCTTGCTACTAAATGTTATATTTGTTGCTATTTACAAAGTTGGAGTTACTATGAAAATATAGCTAATTGCACCCAACACTTTATTGCTACAATTGAATGATTTGTTAATATCATAGTTTTTATATCGATCTTCGTCATACGTCATACTTTTTTGGAATTCTTATTGCAATAACACAAACTCTCGTTTACTTTAAAATTATTTTCCGCTTTTTAGTTCTTTTTGCTGTTAAAGCGTGTTCTTCTTTTATAGTTTTTTTCAATTGATAGTTTGTTTTCTGAGCCTATAGTCTCAAAACGACAACAATAGTATTTATAATCAAGAGTTTCCATTTAGAATATATTTTATACTTGACTACAAATCTAAATTAACTTTATTCCTGTCTACGTAACCTGTCCATTTCTTATATCACTCTCTGTCGAGCATCAGGTTTTTCCAAATTTAAAATTATTTTTGTTGCAAAATCCTAAACTTTTCCCGACATCCAAAACCAAATTTCAAAATTTTCTAATTTTTTCGTATTTCCACTTTTTTCAAAATTTTAATTTTTTTTCAAGATTTTCAAATCATAAAATTACTTGACAACCATTTTTTCAAATTTAAAATTTTTTGAATATTTTTTAATTCTATTTTTCCCAAGATTGTATTGCTATCGGCCCTTTTTCCCTCTGCAAATTTTCAAGTTAATCAGATTCCACGAAATTGGTCAAAAATAAGGCTTAAAGATGCATACAGGTCAAGCTAATAAAATCATGCACAGTACAGTGAAACTAAATACAAAAACTATTTGAGGTACAGTAACATAAATATAGGAATTGCTAAAAAAGTAATAAATTATACGCACCACTAATCCATTGCAGAAACTATTGTTAACGATGTTAACACCATGCAGTATATGTTTGTGAACATTTAGCAATTGGAACATCCGTTCTTCTGAAATATACTTGTCTTTATTCATTGTTTCAGTCTAGCAGTAGCTAATTCCAAAGTTTGCTATGTATTATTTTAATAATCTCATTGCAAGCATCTACATTTGTGCATGCAAAAATGCACAATTTTCTGTGCTGGAATAATATTTTCAGAGCACAGGCGTTCTCCAGAAAAATTATAGGAAAAACCTAATTTGTTTGATGCTTGAATTCTATATGTCCGAGAGAGAGACGTGTATGTAGATACGTGTGTTAGAAAGAGATAGAAGCCGGCTCATCACCGCATTGCCTAGCAACGCTGACGCAACAATTTACCGCGTTGCCATTATGTTACACCAGTTACCAAATAAGGGTTTTATTTTGAGCGTACACATTTTTTAATTCTGTCTAATCTGTTTAGGATCGATCCCTGATTGGTCCTAGCGGCACTCAAATTTAGGCCAAAATGGAAGGACAGGTTCGCCACAAATTCTGCAACATTGCATCATTGATTCGCTTGGGAACACCACATCTCGTACATTCCAAGGCAAAGTTTCCATCTCCATGATCACAAATGAGCGATTTGTCTAATCTAATTAAACAAATTTAATAAATATGATCAAATTGGTGTACTTGGAACAGGTAAACTCATTTCAATAATTCATTAATTTTAAATAAATTGGTGTGCTCAGTCTAAGTAAATGGTTTATTAGATTTAATTAGACGATTGCATTTTGGTTTAATTAAACTAGTTTCATAGATTCAAGTAAACTATTGTATTAAACTAATGAAACTTGTTAACTGTGACGTAGTTGATTAAATTTTTCAATTGGTTAAATTAAAATTTTGATTAGTTTCATTATCCTTTTCTCTCACTGTTCATGAGCTTAACTAGACCTAAATTTACTCGACTCACCTAAAAACGTAGTGTTTAAAATCGTCATGCAATTTCCGTTCGGTCTTTCGAATATGTACGGAGCATCAACGTATTTATTCACCATTTTCATATTGAAGAAAAACCTAGGAAAATCGCTTGTCTCCAGATGAAGATTCAATGTATCCAACTTCAAATTCAATATATAAATGAGGTGTGAAAAATAAATTTCCTGGGTAATGAAAATATAGTATAGTATATAGTAAGGTAAGTACGATTTGATGTAAGAGTTTCTTTCGTTTTCTCTTAGTGCTTCTTTCTCCCACATTACCATGTCTAGTACTATGACAGAACTAAGGCCGACGTAGATCAAGACGATCAATGTTATTGACTTTTCTCTGCATTTCTTCATGTTCGTTTGGGGAATGATCCTCTCAATCTAAAAGGAGAATTAAAAAATTATAAGGAATACTAGACGAAAAATCTACCTAGCTATGAAAAAAGCAATTGAAGTGCACCACATAGTGGTTCTAACCATCAAGACTACCAAAAGATATACTAAGTGACATATAAATCCGAACACCCAGTTTAAATGCTTTTATTTTAATAAAAGTTGGTGAATGTATTTATCTTACTGTAAATAACAAGTGAAAAAATGTTCAGCCTTATCAGTTGGACATTCCGGTTTTTATACTGCTTTTTTTTAATTCACTAACGCTCTAAAAATGAATATTTCAGCCGCAGTAAAGAATCAACGTTGGCGGATTTTGGTTCTTGACATCCTTTACGATCGGTTACGATACCTAGAGTACGAAGACCTGTACGATTTCGTCAACTTAGTGAGTTTGATAGGGGCCGTATAGTGGGACTTCGGGAAGCTGGACTTTCTTTTCGGGCAATTGCAGTTAGAGTGCAAAGAAGTGCAGACACTGTGGTTAGGTGTTGTCAGGCATGGCTTCGAGAAGGCCGTACGCAAAGAGCAAGGGGCACTGGACGCCGCCGTAGAACAACAGACCGTGAAGATCGCCGCCTAAGATTATTGGCCTTAAGGGACCGTTTGGCTTGTTTTTATACCGGCCACACTGGGTCCTCCCTTTAACTCGAGAACACCGACGTAATCGCCTTGAGTGGTGCAGACAACGGTCACTCTGGGATCAGGAATGGAACAGTATTATCTTTAGTGACGAGTCTCGATTTTGTTTAGGCATGCACGATGGTCGTGCCAGGGTTAGAAGGCGACGTGGTGAAAGGAGGAATCCACAGTTTTTTGTTGAAAGACATGTTCATCACACTGTTGGAGTTATGGTTTGGGGTGCTATAGCTTATGGTTCCAGGTCACCTTTAATCTTCATCAGAGGTAACATGAACGCGCAGCGTTATATCCACGAAGTTCTAGAGCCCCATCTTTTACCCTGTCTTGACACCCTGGCAGATCCAACTTTCCAACAAGATAATGCCCGACCACATGTTGCAAGAGTCACAATAGACTTCTTTCAACATAATGATGTCACATTGTTACCATGGCCACCAAGATCTCCCGACTTATCCCCAATTGAGCACGTGTGGGATATGATCGGTAGGAGATTGCTCAATTTGCAATGTCCTCCTCAGACTCTAGAAGCACTTTGAGAGGAGTTGGTGGTTGCCTGGAATGAGATACCACAGGAGGACATTGACCACTTGATCAGAAGCATGCCTAGGCGCGTTGGAGAATGCGTAGCACATCAGGGTGCATCCACACATTAAAGGTAAAATGGCTTTAAAGCAGTGCAATCATTTTGAAATTTTTATCATTTACTTATTATGCTTCATTAAGTACTTATACAAAATTTTATTAAAATAAAACCATTTAAACTAGGTGTTCGGATTTATATGTCACTTAGTATACTTACTCCAAAAATGCTTGATGTTATATAGTTCGGAAACTATATTTGCTTTCACTGATTAAACGCAGAAGCTTATAGGTTTATTTTGGAGATATATTAACTGCATAGCCAAAAGTTTCTTACCATACCAGTGATCTTCAATATTTTCGAGTATCTCTTCATTCTACAAGGCATTGCAGCGATGCCAAATATAACGTTGACAATAACTATACTGATATCACTACTGGTAAGGATTTTGCCTTTCTTATCTCTCATTCTAACACTCTGCATACTACCTCCCAAATCACTAGCAAGCACCGAAACTAACATCATCGCTGAAAATGAAGAAATCGCTTCTTTGAATACATTTTCACGAATATCAGAATCCATGAATAGAAAAATGATTGATTTTTCGATAAAAAGTATTTGCATACTTGGCTATCAAAATAAAAGAGCATAACGCTTAATGTATCGTGCGGTACTGGATACGGCAGTATGTCTCAAAAATAAGGTTCCCACATTTTTTTCAGGTACAAGGATTTTTTATTTGAAACAACGGATTTATCATCGGAAACGTTGATCTTCAAGCTATTTTTCTACACAGACGCCATTTTTTAGATATGGAATCCACTTTCTCAAACCCGTCTCAATGAAGTCTGCCTCCAGCCCACTTGGAAACTTTGTAACTCCTCGTCCGTCTTGAACCGTTGACCGCATAAGTGTTCCTTCAATTTTGGAAACATTGTGCCAGCATTGTGAGGGGGATTGGTAATGACTTCCCAGCCAAATCGCTCGATTCAGTCCTTCGTTTCTTGTGAGACATGATGCGCATTGTCGTGGTGCGGTTTTTTCAGAAGCTTCATGAATTTCAAGCGTCTCTTCCCGGAGCGTGATTCGCCGATCTTAGAGCAAGGTTTGCTCAATCTTGGCCATAACCTGTTCATCGTAGATGTCCATGCGGCTGTCCATGAACTCTCTTCACCATTTGAGGAGACGTTACGTGCTTATACACGTTTCCCCATATACTTTACTCAACTGGCGATGGATTTCTATGGGTGATAACGTTTTTGGGCTGCATTGCGCATGACTGTCAGACCGGTGCTCAGCATCGGCAATAGGCGCTTCTTGTTAGGGGAGCCGACAAATACGACGGTGTTGCCAGACTTCGCATAGCATCACGCGCGGCAAAGCTGCAGCGTTGGGAATCTGATTTCTTTGAAAAACAACTCTCGTATATAATAATAATAATAAAATATTCCTTGCGAGGATTCAGCGAGCAGCTATTCTTACACCCTAACCAGGGCACCAATTGTTTACAAGCACCCTTACAATAGAATTTAATAATTTAGTTTAAAAAAAAACAACAAGAGTTTACAGTTATATAGATATGCCGTCTTTAAATATGAGCTCCTTGATTTGCCCTTTAAACGTACTAAGTGGTAGCTGCTCTATACTGTACACACTCTATATAAGAAAACGATTTTTTAAAATTAGCTGTAAGCATCCCACAAACCGGCGCGAAATATTCGCTTTGTCTGCGAAAATTTCGCGGCGATGAATTCGCGATCAGATTAAAACGCGGCGGTTTACGGACAGGCTCAGACTTGTGCGAAGCGAATGAGATTGTTCCAGCGTTTTTATCGCGGCGTATTTCAGTTCGCCTTTGACCGCGTTTTTGACGCCGTTCTTAAAAAATTCGCAATGGCAAAAACGGAATTATTGATAGAAATAGTGGAAAAGTATCCTTGTTTGTATGATTTGTCGAACGATGAATACAGGAATGTGAGAAAGAAAGACAAGATTTGGATGGGAATAGGAAAAGAATTAAATACAAATGGTATGTACCTAATATTTTTTATTAACTTGTTAAATAATTTACAGTCTACACAAATGTGAAAACGAACATTCTATATATTGGGCATAAGCATATCAGAATTAAAATAATTTACGAATTTGTCACGAGTAGAAAATGCTAGCCTTGCTGCCCGCCGAGGATCATTTGCTATATCAGTAAAAGCTCCAAACACGGGTTCTGGGGGATCTAAGAATTGAAAATATTTGTCATCGCCACTTTTACTTCGTAAAAAATTGTACGCCGTACGTACAAGTAGAATAGTAGTATCTACTTTAGTTTCTAATGGCCTGTAAAATATTCGCCATTTTTGAGACAAAATACCAAACGCATTTTCCACGACCCTTCTAGCTCGACAAAGTCTTACATTGTATTTCTCTTTTCTGACGTCTGTTAAAGTCTGCTTATAAGGAAATGGTCTCATAAGGTATGGTTTTAAAGCAAATGCTTCATCACCAATTTAGACGTACGAGCAGATTTCATTTTTCCCAGGGAGAAATCTAGGTGCAGGGACACTCATTAAATTTTGTTCAAATCGTTTTCCCATGTTTGAGGTTTCGAAAATACCCCCATCACTATTTTTTCCGAAACCACCAATATCAACACATATAAATTTATAGTCCGGGCCAACAATGGCCATAAGTACTATTGAATATTTATGTAAATAGCACCAGTAATTGGAGCCACTGTTGTTAGGTCTCTTGATTGTTACATGTTTACCGTCCACGCTGCCAATGCAATTGGGAAATCCCCATCTATTTTCAAATTCTTCAGCACATTTTTTCCATATATTCTCTGTTGGTTCTGGTAAATATATATGCTCCATATGTCTGCATATCGCTTCACAGACTTCGGTTACGATTGCACTCACTGTTGTAAAGCCAACTCGAAAGCTATGCCCAATGCCATAAAAAAATGGCAGTGGGCTGACTACATGGAATTTTTCCGTCCTTTTTTGGCATTTGCCAAAACGTCGACTAATGTGAAAAATATTGACGTCATACATTATGAGACTGCCGAATTTAACTCAAATATACAGGGTGACTTTGAAGTTGAGTCATTAATTTTCAGATAATGATTGTAGAAGGAAGATAAACCAAAATATGTGTGTAAAAATAAAAAAAAAATAAAAAAAAATTTTTACCTTGTTTTATAAAGTATCCTCCCGACAAGTATTTCAGTGCGGACCTGTATTTGATCGTGAGGTCCCCTGTGAGGTCTGAAGTCACCTGATTCACGAGCCCGTTGTACTACATTAACAAAGGCACGAGGGGTTGGTTGCACTCGATTGGGAAACCGATCCGCATAAACATGTGCCATTTTTTATTTCGTTTGAGCCACGCAACAGACACTATACACACGCGACTGACATTGACTGTATGTATAACTGAACTGAATAAAATAAACATCGTTCCAAATTCCTTCGCTTTTTTGTTTCCGATGCGATGAACCGATAAGGTGGATTATATCCGTTGTTGCCAAACACGAGTACATGATATTATTGAGAAAGGGCGGTACTCAAACTTCCAAAGGGCTATAACTTTGTTACTTCAATTTTACCAGAAAAATGGTAAAGGAGAAAAACATTTCTTTTGATCAGATCTACTCACTGTTAAAATAAATGACTCAACTTCGAAGTCACCCTGTATATCAGGAAAGGGCTGGAAATGTAGAAACCGAAAATTTGGAAGACCGCGGCCATGGAGAAGATGAAAATGCTGATGTAGATGCAGAAGATGCACAGAACGCCTCGGCAACACAGACAGCACCACCTTCTTCATTGAACACTACAGCAGTGACTACTCCAGGGCACACCTTTCCGCAGACTGCAACTACACCAAAATATAAAACGAGCAGAAAACGCTATGAATCACCATCTTCGTCTGTACAGCAGCTCATTAATTATTTTGAAGGTAAAAAACCTAAAAAAGAGAACGAGGCCATTGATTCACTTTTCTTGGCACATGCACAGACTGTGAAAACACTTCCCTTAAAGCGTCAAGCCCGAGTAAAACTAAAAATAGCCGAATTAATAGCGCACGAAGAATTTGAACATATTGAAGAAATGTCTTCAGCGTCTACCCAGAATTCTGCAAGTATGTATGATAGTAGTATGTCGTCCTTCCCAAGCGGCACTGGGTTTACTCCAATAATATACCCAACAGAGGAGGCAAATTCTGCCTCGAATTATTTAGCAACATTTAATCCTAGTGGCAACATGTAGTCCAATTATTACAATAAAATATTTATTTCACGATCCCTGAAGTTTTCGTATTTGATAAGCCTACTAATTTTTATACATATAATTTTTTTACCTGAGTGTAATAGCAAGTCGTTCTTCTGGCGAAATAGCTTCACGATAATTTGTGTCAGATTTTCGTATTTCATCTTTCACCAAGTTCAATATTTCATCGAAACACTCTGGAGTCATTCTAAAATATACGTAAAAGCGCTGTTCATCCAGCCGAAGTTGTGGCATCAAGGTATGGTATTCCCCAAATTTATTTCGTTCCAAGTTAATATCATATACCCACTTCCTTCGTTTCCTAAACAAAATTGAAAATATTTGTTTTATGTACTTTGTTAAACTTAATACATACCCAACTATCAAATGGCGTTAAATTAACATAACTTACCGTGCATTTTGTTCCTCTTCTAAAGCAAGAAATAGAAGTGCCTCCTCTTCTTCTGAAGACGAGCTCATTGCAAAAGGCAAAAATAAAATGTACGCAACCTGTCGAAACCTTCACGTTCGCGGAGCGAATAAGACGCTTTGGTATGAATAAACAGGCGAAACAGATTGCGAATTTCGCTCTGAATTTCGTTGCGAATACTTCGCCGCGATTATTTCGCGCCGGTTTGTGGGATGCTTTATTGTGAGCAGGAATATCTAGTGTATGATCGACAAATCTGAGATTGGCATTATGATACTGATTTCGCATAGATAATTTATCATAGTTAACCATGGAATACGCTTCAAATATGGTGAAACCTACTGCATAACGGACACATGCATTTTGAATCTTTTGCAACCTGTAGGATTCATTTTGTATCAGGCAAAGGCCAAACATAGAATCAGCATGTTCTACTTTGCTTAGAATCAACGAATTACTTAACCTAACTTTGGCGGAATCAGAAAGTACATGTCTGAAACTATATATGCTTTTCAAGGCACTATACGTATGAGCTTTGTACTATTTTTGTGACATGGTCATGGAATGTTAACGATGAGTGAAAAAGCACACCTAAATTTCTTATCTGCAGTTTATGATGGGGTGGCTCACCTCCGATATATAAATTAACTACTGTACTGACAAAATTGCTTAGCTTGGATTTAAGGTAACGACAGTGGATTTTCTTCGGTTTATAAGTAATTCATTGCTGGAGAAATATTGATTTGCAGCCTGTAGGTCTCTTGACAGTTTGGTATTGGCTTGTAAAAAATCATCAGCATTATATAAAAGGTAGATCTGGGTGTCATCTGCATAGGAGTGAACTTTACAATAAGAAATAGAGTAATTGAAATCTGATACAAAGATTAAATAAAATTGACCCAGGATCGAACCCTATGGAACACCTTGCATAACATTGCATTTCGAAGATATTTTTGCTCCAAGTTTCACCATTTGTGATCTACCAGATAGATAACTAGAGAACCAGGCAAGAGATGATTCACAAAATCCAAAAAAAAAAGAAATAAGAAATCTATTATCTATGCAGTCAAAAGCTTAAGACAGATCTAGCATCACGCATGTTGTAACTTTACCATCGTCTATGGCTCTTAAGTAGTAGTCACTGAGATCAATCAGTGCAGTTACAGTACTATGTCCAGGTTTAAAGCCTGATTGTGTGGAAGGTGTCAAGTTATATTTTTTTTAAATGACATCTGCCCAAATACAATTCTTTCTAATAACTTAGACAATATAGGCAATAGACTGATAGGTCTATAATCACTAAGTTCCAGCGGATTATCAATCTTTGGCAGAGGTATTACAGTTGCTAATTTCCACAATTCTGGAAAAGTGCTAAAGAAAAATTAATGATATGCGCAATAGCATTAAGACAGTATGGTATGAACATTAGGCTCAGTCCATCATGACCTGCACAATTTGATTTTATTTTCATAAACTCGTCAAATATGATTTGCTGAGACGTTAAAGTGAAGTTAAAATCCTCATCAACTGAACGATGCTTGTGATTTTCATATCACACTAGTAGTGATTCATCTATATGAATATATGAATATACCTAATTTATAAAGAAATTATTGACAGAGTCAGGTTCGTTAAACTTATTTTCATTACTATGTATACCTAACTGATTGATACATTTCCACCAGCTACAAGAATTGCGCTTTTGCTTTAATTGATACTCAACTTACGCCTCTCAACGGATAGACGCAGTGACTAAATTTCGTAATTGTAATAAATCCATTTTTGTTCAATGACTTCTTTACTAGAATTTTTCTTTTTAAAGTTTTTACTACTGAAATAAGCTTTATCTCTTAGTTTCATCATGACACGTATGTTCGGTGTGATCCAAGTGAGAGACCTTTTGGATACCTTCTTGTATTCAGTGCGCGACCTCACAGACACATTGTTGTTGTCTTTTTTCTCCTCTAAGGCTTTTATTTATCTACTGGTAAGATACTGTATTACTTACTGATACTGAGGCAAAAAACATAGCTATGAACAGCCCAAATGTTAGACCAACGCATGGCGTATTGATACTTTTCCAGCTTATACGATACGGGACAGATTCCAAAGATTCTAGACACTTCTAAAAAAGGCTGAATTATATAAAATGTTTCTTTAGATATACGGACCTTCATTCCTCGCAAATCTCTGCAAAATGTGTCAGCCATTTGTTAGATCAACTCTTTATGCTACCACTATTTCAGTTTCATAAGATATGAAAGACAAAAATGTAAAGCAATTGTATTAACGACCCGAGTTTTAGTACAGTTAGAGGGGCTACCATTTTCCTGATATGCAAATTCTTTGTGACCAAGAAAATGGATCATCCAGTAAAAACGATTTCATTTGAGTGAAATCTTACATACAGTTAATGATGATGGATCCTTCCAGTACCAAGAATTCCGAACTTTTCGCAGAGTTGCCTTCCGTCACGTAGGTGTCAACATGGAACATAGTAACCGATTCAAAGCACATGCCGACTGGGAGGGGCTCAGATGCTTCTTCTCCACCTTTCATCGATAACCGATATGGTCCAACGTCTGGTTCAATAAATCGTGCTTGTCAGCAGAAGATCAAAGTACTCAGAATCTTCTTACAAAATCCCACTGTGGAGAACGGACAAGCTAACGTCGACTCCAGAAACAAATATAACGAAGCGGTCCGCATTGCCAGGACCAGCATGATATAAAAGTTAGGCACAGGGTAATGTCGTAGCGCAATGGCAGTTGGTCTTTCTGGACGCTGGCCAAGCAGATTGAAACGAACTTAGCTGCCAACTCCCCCATGGACGTTCTCCCAATGCGCAAGTGCCGTCGATTCAAAGGGATGCTCTTGTTGTTTGACATCAACAAGGCTTCTGATGCGGACTTGATTCCTGACGTTGCATTAGAGATATTCGCATCTGTTTCAGATATCTTATGACTCACGCATTATCCCAGAAAACTGGAAATTTGCACATGTCCAACCCATTCAAAAAAAAAAAGGATCTAAGACGGATCCTTATAACTACAGGCCTATAGCTCTACTGTCTGTTATAGATAAGGTGATGGAGCGGTGCATAAATCGAAAGGTTCTGGAGTATCTCAAGTGTCACGGCTTGATTAACGATAGGCAGTATGGTTTCTAGTCTTATGGTGAGACTGATGATGTTGCTCTTGATATCAAGGTTTGCAGACAGGTGGCTGACTTCCTTTCTGGTCGCAAGATATCTGTCGTAAATGACGGGTTCTTCTCTTCATCCCACAACGTCCACGCGGGTATTCCCCAGGGATCTCTGCTGGTTAGCTGAAGAAAAGAAGACACAGTGCTGT